ATGGTTGATTTAGGTGCAATCTTACTAGCAGCAATATCCTCACCTGTGAAGCCCTTTTTGTGCAAAGCAATGATGAAGGCACGTGTTTCCTTGCAGGTAACCATGGTTAACAGAGGAAGAACAATGATTTCAAGCACCACCCTCCTTTTAAAGCAATAGTGCACTACTTTTGACCAGAGCCCCATGGGCACTTGGCCCTGTACAAAAGTAGTGCACTAAAGGGAATAGGTTGCCATTCTGGACTCAGCATAGAAAAGCAATACAAGCAAAACAGCTGCCCCAGATTCTCACCAGGCACAACATGATTATGAAGGCAAAAAACAATGCTGTACTGCATACTGCTCTGATGTGAGGTAGTGTCAAAATGAAGGATTTAGGCCTAGAGGACTTGATCAGGATGGACAGGTTGGACACACTGCTTAATATAGTTGTTAGTGTGCTGAGACATGACCATAAACGTGGCACCTGAAACACCGTAGTGGATTTGGCACAAAAGCTCTAACAGGATAACTGATCAGTGGAGGCTGGTGGGAGGAGCTATAGGAGGATGAGCTCATTGTAATGGCTGGAATGGATTAAATGGAACGTTATCAAACACATCAAACATATGGAAACCACATGTTTGACTCCGTTCCAATCATTCCATTCCAGCCATTACAATGAGCTTGTCCTCCTATAGCTCCTCCCACCAGCCTCCTCTGTAACTGATATGTCCTAACATGACTTTGTCGGGTAAAGACTCTAATTCACAACTCAAAAGGACAGACTGTGACTCCTCTGTTACACCACGCTCACCACCGGGTCTGCGTGGCACCAAATGACGGGCGTCACAAACACCAGGAATCTTCCATTTCAATTGCTCCACCTCCACCCTTAACGCTACCCCAGAAACCACTCCTTTCAATGGTGCCCTGTTCCTAAGAGCAAAACAAGAAATAGATCTTGACCTGTGTTGCGGGGCACGGAGCGCCCGCTCCTTCTGGGCGGAAGAAACACAAACAAACATCACAAGTCCACTTCGGGTAAGGCCTACTTTCATTAGCATCATGGCAGCAACATTAAGACTTCCGGTCTTCCGATATAGCGTTCAAAATAAAATGCGTTAAAACGCTACAGTCGTATGAAAAAGTTTGGGCACCCCTGACAATTTCCATGATTTCCATTTATAAATAATTGGGTGTTTGGATCAGCAATTTCATTTTGATCTATCAAATAACTGATGGACACAGTAATATTTCAGTAGTTAAATTAGGTTTATTGGATTAACAGAAAATATGCAATATGCATCAAAACGAAATTAGCCAGGTGCATAGAATTGGGCACCCCAACAGAAAAATCACATCAATATTTATTAGAGCCTCCTTTTGCTAAAATAACAGCCTCTATACGCTTCCTATAGCCTCTGATGAGTGTCTGTATTCTGGATGAAGGTATTTTGGACCATTCCTCCTTACAAAACATCTCCAGTTCAGTTAGGTTTGATGGTTGCCGAGCATGGACAGCCCGCTTCAAATCATCCCACAGATTCTCAATGATATTCAGGTCTGGGGACTGGGATGGCCATTCCAGAACATTGTACTTGTTCCTCTGCATAAATGCCCGGGTAGATTTTGAGCAGTGTTTTGGGTCGTTGTCTTGTTGAAATATCCAGCCCCGGCGTAACTTCAACTTTGTGACTGATTCTTCAACATTATTCATCCTCCTACTACGACTCGGGAAACTATGTAGTTTATTAGGCTACAGTACAGATGAAAATAAGTTGTTTTTCCGAAGGCGGAGACCGGGCCTGTAAAATGGCGGACAGGAAAAAAAGGAGGAAAGTAGAACATATTATAAAAATGGAGTGGGGGATTTCACAAGCCTTCTTGAAAATCTGATGAAGGAGAAGATGGTGGACAAGAATAAAAGGAGAAAAGTGGAACATGTTTTGAGTGAATATGCAATAGAGGACCATATAGAACGTTTGGAAGAGCTATAGAAGAAAATTGAACGTGATGAGAGTGAAGATTAATTATATGCAGTGGCACGTGCATTGGTGACCGCTGAAAAGGAACTGAGTGTATAGGGAAGCGGTGTGGTGTGGAAGGTTGACGTCGAGTGCAAAAAGAGGGATATGTGCTCCAGTAGCTCAGCGATGGAACTTGACGAGAGTGAGGATGAAGTATCTGCCGTCAGGACCACCAAGTTCGAGCCTCATCTCAATAATGACAAGGATGATTCTGGCCCAGTGGAAGTGAGATTTGTGGAGAGAATGGATCCTTGTATTCTGGCTGATCCATATGTGGTGTCAGGTTGGGTGGAGAAGAGGTTGGGGACTGTTGAGTTGGTGAAAGTAACTCGAAGGGGACTCGTGATGATTTATTGTGTTTCTTCCGTCCAGATGGAGCGGGCGCTCCAGATCACGCGACTAGGGACAAGAACTGAGACTTGCTTTGCTCTTCGGAGCATGGCGCTGCTGAAAGGAGTGTTAAGGGGGGTGCCATTAAGTATTGAGGAGGATCAGCTGAAATGGAAGATTCCTGATGTCTGTGATGCCCACCGTTTGGTGCGACGCAGACCCGGTGGAGAGCGTTGTGAAATGGAGAAGACGTTATCCGGTCTGTTGAGTTTTGATTCAGTCTTTGCCCGACAAGGTAAAGTTAGGATGTGTTAGTTATCCCATAAGAGATTTTGTTCTGAAAATACTACGGTGTTTTAGGTGACAAGCATATTGGTCATGTTGCAGTAGTGTAGGAGGGAGATTCCTAGATGTGAGAAGAGTGCAGGAGGGCATGACACGAAGGAATGTGTAGCAGTGGAGGCTGCTAAGGGGAGGACGGCTCATAATAATGGCTAGAATAGTCAATGGAATGGTATCAAACACATCAAAGAAGTGGTTTCCATGTGTTTGATACCATTCCATTGACTCCATTCCAGCCATTATTATGAGCCGTCCTCCCTTCAGCAGCCTCCACTGATTTGTAGTATCGGTGGAGAAAGTTGTGTGTGTAAGTTGTGGGGGTTCCCATGGGGCTGGAGATCGGAGGTGCCTGGTGAGAGAAAGGTAGGTTGAGGTTGACAGGGTCAGAGTAGTACAGAAAGTGTCATATGCTGAAGCAGTGAAGAGAATGGTAGAGGAAGATGGGTACAGGGTGAGGGATCCTTAGAGGATTCCTGTGAGTAGGCAGAGACCGATAGAGATGGACGGAATAATTAGTACTTCAGTAAGGTGGGTTTCTTAGCATTCATAGCCGTGGTTATCAACTGTACTGCAGAAATGGAACGTAAGTCACAGAAAATAGAGGTTGTGTTGGCAGCTGCAGAGAAGTACTTGGGATTGCAAGGTTTTACTGCAGAAGATTTGCAGGGGGTGTTAAGTGGTAGAGTTCTGTCCTCACAGACAGTTCAAATCAAATCAAATCAAATTGTATTGGTCACATGCGCCGAATACAACAGGTGCAGACATTACAGTGAAATGCTTACTTACAGCCCTTAACCAACAGTGCATTTATTTTTAATAAAACAACAACATAAAAAGTGTTGAGAAAAAAAGAGCAGAAGTAAAATAAAATAACAGTAGGGAGGCTATATATACACAGGGGGGGTACCGGTGCAGAGTTGGCCTGGAGTAGGATTAGATAGGGCTAAATAGTGGAATGGAGCTGTGTTTTTTTGAGTGAGGGCTAATAGTTGGCAGGGTAATTTTCCTTTTTCCCAATTTTGACATTTGAAAACAAATCACAAATATTCTGCCATTTCAATATCTGAGCTGCAAAACACACAATGGTTAAAGTCAAAGTTAAATCTCCGTCATAAGAAATCATTACCTGGGTAAATGTCATTATATGTTTTGAGATGAACTTCTTTAGCTTTAGGTGATAAAGGAAAGGAACAGGAAATTTATTATTTTGGATAATGAAAGGAATAAAGGAAATTTATAAAGGAAAATAAAGGTATCTGTTCTTATTCTGACTTATAGAACATTCTAGTGAATCTTGTAACATATTTCCTTTTCAGTGGTGAAGGGAAACTCTCTGCAGTAAGAGTAGTTCTTAGGAATTTGCTATTAGATTTTTTAAATGTTTTTTTCTTAATTAGGATGCATCTACTGTTCTTCGTCTTAGTTTATTTCCCTTTTCCGTTTTGGATTTCCCGTCCTTTTCCATTCAGTATCCAGTAGGTGGCAGCAATAGACATTTTCCAGTGTAGTCTGCGCTAAAACACCACCAAAGAAGAAGAAGAAGGTGCGCGATGGAGCGTCAAAATAGAGCGACGAACTGTTAACTGAAGTTATCCTTCGCAGTTCAGCAGAAAGGTAAGTAAAACTGTATTGTTGCGGTTATATGTCCTCGCATAACCGTCATGGGATATATCATGGGATTAGGGTCATTCAATCATTGTTTTTTTTTGGCTTTACTGGGCAATCAAGCTTGCTAGCGTTAAATTGTGAACTAACCGTCAGCTAACATTAATTAGCTAACGTTAGCTATGTAAGATTGTCAACCTCATCACCAGCAATGTGTCGTTTGTTGTGCCGGTATCTTTGGATGAATGAAAACGATACATGAAAAATATTGCTAATATCGAGTCAGTTCAGGTTAACTGAGTTTTCTTAGCCAGTTAATATGCAGTTAATAGACTGCAAAATAGCTAGCTAGCTCAACCAGGCTCAATCTGCCTGGCTGACTGTCTCCATCAATACTGTAAATAGTTTCGTCAAGATGCAGCTGATCAAAGTAAGTGTGATATCACTGCTCTCAACTCAAACTGTTGATAGTAAAAAATGTCACACGATTAGCTAAAACTGCTATACTACATGATGTGAGAACAGTGGGATCTTTATGTGGGAGATGATATCAATACCAGTAGTAGACCTTTTCTGCCCACTCCTTTGCATAAATAATACATGGTACTGTGGTCTCAATTGATGCATTGTACGTTTTTTACATGTGTATACTGTAGTATAGCTTCAACTGTTCTTCTACTCCTCCCATATCTACTTTACAGAAGCCACCAGCACCATGACAACTGCACAGTCAGCATTCACATTTGCAGTTTGTATCCTGATAATAACAGAGTTGATACTGGCCAAAAAGGACTACTATGACATATTGGGAGTGCCGAAAGATGCCAACGAGCGTCAGATAAAGAAGGCTTTTCACAAGCTGGCTATGAAGTATCACCCAGACAAGAACAAGAGCCCAGATGCTGAGACAAAGTTCAGAGACATTGCTGAGGGTAAGTGTAATTTCCAGGTGAACAAAAGAGAAGAGCAGTCACAGATAAAGTAAATCAAAAGTCAATCTGGTTTATTATGAATCCAGCACAAGCAGAGAAAATGTCTAACTGGCCTTCTCTGAGCAGGCCCCTATATGTCCTAATCAAAAAGCGCCAAATGTTCTTTAGGAAGTCAAAACCAAAAGGCAGTGACTTTGCCAGCTGCTACAGAATCACACAGTGTTCACAGAATATCATCAATACAATACAACAAGGAATAATCAGTGCGTCCTCAGTCCTTGTACCTCCAGTCTGGAGTCAATCACTATCAACAGATATGAGAATCCATAACATTTAGCTTCAAGTCTAGTGACCATCAACCCACACCTTGAGTGTAACTCTGCAAATTATTTGTAGTACAGAAACTCAAAATATGCTAAACATTGTGTTGATCATGCTAAATGAAATATGAAGTTTAGTCATCTTAAATATTCCCATTACAGGTTGATACCTTATTTATGTAAAAATGTCAACTCACGTTCCAGCGTTTTCTTTCTTTTTATTGTGTTACATCACTGTTGTTTTTTACACTACTGCTAATAGAATCATTGGTATGATCTGAAACCCTTTCTTGCAACTCTTTCATCTACAGCATATGAAACCTTGTCAGACAAGAAGAGGAGACAAGAATACGACCAGTTTGGACATGGCACAAACGGTCCAAACGTCCACCAGCCCTTCGACTTTGGCGACATGTTCAAGGACTTTGATATTTACAGCCAGAACCGGCACGCCCGTCACAAGAGGCACTTTGAGGGCCACTTCCGGGCCAACCAGGAGGCCCACCACAGCCGACACAAGAGACACTTCCAGGGGGCTTTTGGAGCAGCAGGTGGTGGTGGCTTTGACGGCATGTTTGACGACATGAAGATGATGTTTACTTTTCACAGGGACACTACTAAGCAGACTGAGAGCAGGTTTCAGAGTACTACAGCGAAGCAACACTGCAGAACAGTGACACAGCGCAGGGGGAACATGGTCACCACGTACACTGACTGCACTGGCTCCTGAGGACAGAGGTCATGTCCGTATCCACATCACCTGGGTCGTGTTCATCAGGCATGAAATGGAAGAAAGCGGTCTGAAATGGGGAGGTACTATCTGAACCAGTTGTGACTGCTGGGAGGAGCTATAGGAGGACGGGCTCATTGTAATGGCTGGAATGGAATTAATGGAACGGTATTAAACACATCAAACATATGGAAACCACATGTTTGACTCCGTTCCTCTATTCCATTCCAGCCATTACGTCCTCCTATAGCTCCACCCACCAGCCTCCACTGATCTGAACTTGTCCAATAAGAAAGGGTTGTTTTCGCCTCCCGAGTGGCGCGACGGTCTAAGGCACTGCATCGCAGTGCTTGAGGCGTCACTACAGACCTGGGTTCGATCCCAGGCTGTGTCACAACTGGCAGTGACCGGGAGTCCCATAGGGCAGCGCACAATTGGCCCAGTGTCGTCCGGATTAGGGGAGGGTTTAGCCGGGGGGCCTTTACTTGGCTAATCACGCTCTAGTGCAGCTCCATTGTGTGAATCCAGCAGCCTTTAGTAGGAAAAAAACAGTGCAGACAATGACACTGGGACAGGTTTGCTTTTGATTGATAAATGGAGAACAATGTCAGCTAAATGTCCCCTCAGTTTGAACATTTAGTGAAAACATAATGCAGCATTTTGATGTAGCCTTGTAAAGTTGTAGTTGAAATTAGCTCAAACTATTCAGATCTACAAAAACTCGTACGCCATGGGAACACATTGGAAACTACCTGCAGTTGATGTAGCCAGCTGTTTTTGTTGCTGCTGTGACCTGAGTGCTGGTCATTGCTACTTTGTCAACATCTATCCTCCTGTCAGCATGGACCACTTGAATTTATAAGCTGACGTTGGTGTAAATACAATCCAGTGTTGTTCATGCAACACCTCATAAACATCTGTTCCCTGTTTCACCAGTCTGTAGACTAGAAATTTATGTTATCCAGTTTTGTTATGTCATGTGCAAAGCCAGCACTCTTTTTTTTTTTCTTCTTTTTTTGCTACTGTTGTTTGCTGGCTTTATCGTTGTGATAAATTGACCCATATAAGCACTTTCATTATATTAATCCTATGGATAAAATGTGTTACTTTGACAGAAAAATTGTGTATCGTCCCTGTAAATAAAAAAAGTGTTCAGGAAATAAAATATCAGAAAATAAACTTTGTGTATTTGCATTCTTTGGAGTTGTGCTGAATATTGGCAGGTGTGTGTATGCAACCTCCTAGTAGACTTTTTTGTTGTTGTTGTAGTGTCAAGGAAATTCCCAACCCTGATTTTCTCAACACATTAATCAGTGCCTAAATATTTTGGTACCCACTCCCTAGTTACTGTTGTCTTGGAAAATACATTTAGCTCTACATTGGTGCAGCATGAATCACATCAACACTGGTAAATGTATACTGAACAAAAATATAAACGCAACATGTAGTATATTGTTGGTCCCATGTTTCATGAGCTGAAATAAAAGATACATTTTCAATACGCACAAAAAGCTTATTTCTCTAAAATGTTTTGCATAAATTTGTTTACATCCCTGTTAGTTAGCATTTCTCCTTTGCCAATATAATCCATCTATCTGACAGGTGTGATTAAACAGCATGATCATTACACAAGTGTGCCTTGTGCTGGGGACAATAAAAGGCCACTCTAAAATGTGCAGTTTTGTCACACAACACAATGCCACAGATGTCTCAAGTTTTGAGGGAATGTGCAATTGGCATGCTGAATACATGAATGTCCACCAGAGCTGTTGCCAGATAATTTAACGTTTATTTCTCTACCATAAGCTGCCTCAAACGTCGTTTTAGAGAATTTGGCAGTACGTCCAACCGGCCTCACAACTGCAGACCATGTCAGCCCAGGACCGCCACCCGACGCTGGAAAGTGTTTGCAATCTAAGATTTTGCACAATCTGTGAACCGTCTCAGGGAGCTATCTGGCCGTTGTCTCACACGGTCTGACCTTGATGCGGTCGCAACCGATTCATGGGCAAATGGCACCTGCTGGAATGTGCTCTTCACAGATCTCGTTCAACTTACATAATGGCGACCACTGTGGGATGCCAACGTTGTGAACAGAGTGGCCCATTTGGGGTGGTATGTAGGGCGGAAACACGAACACAGTTGCATTTTATTGTAGCAATTGATCACAGATATCTGACGAGATCTTGAGGCCAGTGTCGTGCCATTCTCAGCGCATCGCTCATGTCATGAATCTGCCCCATGACTCAAGGTTGTACCACATTCCCAAGCTGAAAGGTCCATTTTCATGATACTCCCATTTACATTACTCATTTGCAGGCTCTTCCAGAGCGACTTACAATTGGTGCATTCCTTATTATTTTAGGGGGGTGGGGGTAGAAGGATTACTTTATACATTCCAGGATACCTTAATGAGGCAGGGTTTCAAGTATCTCCGGAAGGTGGTCAGTGACTCCGCTGTCCTGGCGTCGTGGGGGAGCTTGTTCCACCATTGAGGTGCCAGAGCAGCAAATAGCTTTGACTGGGCTGAGCGGGAACTGTGCTTCCGTAGAGGTAGGGGAGCTAGCAGGCCAGAGGTGGATGAACGTAGTGCCCTCGTTTGGGTGTAGGGTCTGATCAGAGCCTGAAGGTAAGGTGCCGTTCCCCTCACAGCTCCGTAGGCAAGCACCATGGTCTTGTAGTAGATGCGAGCCTCAACTGGAAGCCATGAGAGAACTTGGGAAGGAGTGGGGTGACATGAGAGAACTTGGGAAGGTCGAACACCAGACGGGCTGCAGCGTTCTGGATAAGTTGTAGGGGTTTAATGGCACAGGCAGGGAGCCCAGCCAACAGCGAGTTGCAGTAATCCAGACGGGAGATGACAAGTGCCTGGATTAGGACCTGTGCCGCTTTCTGTGTAAAGTCACCAGACTTGTCACCAATGTTCCCTCCAAAGAAAATCGGCACTGAGCAAATTTTAGGTCTGCTGAGCGCAAACTTGAACTTTGTGAAAATTCTGTGCAACTTCCAGCGAGCGTTTACTGTGAACACTGAGGCTGTGCCCGCTTTAAGTTACAGTTTTAACAGTGGCCATGTAGGCTGCTGTGGCTATTTGAACATAATGTAGGCCTACCAGAGAGGCCTACCATCAAAAACAATGGAGAAATTCCATCCCATAATATTTTTTACATGGAAATAGCTGTTCTATCATTCAGCCTACAGTAGCAGCCAATGTGTGGTGTTCAGTGTAGGCCTACATTCCATGAAACCTTTGAAAAATACATGCAGTGTGTGACATTAACCTGTTTATCCACTTGTCCTTCAGATAAGGAGGTGACTGAAACTGGTGTTGTTGTTTGATGCAAGAAACAACTTTACAAAATAAAATGCATTATTATTCCCATACCATTATTACAGAGAATCAGACAAATTATGCTACCCTCTGCATAAATGATGCTACCCTCTGCCTTATTCAAGCCTGTCTCAAAATACAACACTGCCCCTTTAAGACAAAAAAAAAGCTATTTCCCTGACTTGCTTTTCAAAGATGTCCAGAAAGGTACATGTTTTGTGCTCTTGTAGGAAGCAATCACTCCCCTATTGCTGACAACAAATGATCTATAACTGGGCTAATAACTCACTATCAAAGATATAAACAAAATGTGCACGTGGCTACATGCAGCTCTTGCTTTGATCTCAAAACAGTATGAAAATGTATGCACTCACTAACTGTAAGTCGCTCTGGATAAGAGCGTCTGCTAAATGACTAAAATGTAAAATAAGCGCATCTAATTAAGACCGCTCATCCTGTAAGCACAGTCCAGTTCAAAGTAAATGGCACAGATCCGTATATGGCAATGGTCTATTTGCATATAGGCCTACTGGAGCTCTGATGGTTTATGTTACACCGGTCTGTGTAGAGTATGGGCTGAGTAGTGTGTGTCAATGCAATAGAATCCTCCTCCGATGTGTTCTGCCTACAACAAAATCTCTTGCATAGTTTGTTTTGTTTCGGTATGTTGCATTGAAAGAGGCTAATATTGCATTGATTCGATCACAATTGCCACAATAAAGGGAAACGTTGATAGAGTTAACAGGGACAACTCTAGAACAGTGGTCACCAACCTTTTCTGAGTCAAGGTCACTTTGAGTCAAAATGAAAGCCGAGATCTACCGCTTAGATTTCTTTTTTTGACATTAACCAATTTAAAACAGTCTGTAGCAAATAGTGGGCACTTTGAATACAGTGTTGTTTGACATGACAACGAATTAAAATGCCAGGTAGGAGTAATTGTGACAGGGATATGAACAAAGTGATGGCCAGTGTTTCCTTATACACTGCTCAAAAAAATAAAGGGAACACTTAAACAACACAATGTAACTCCAAGTCAATCACACTTCTGTGAAATCAAACTGTCCACTTAGGAAGCAACACTGATTGACAATACATTTCACATGCTGTGGTGCAAATGGAGTAGACAACAGGTGGAAATTATAGGCAATTAGCAAGACACCCCCCAATAAAGGACTGGTTTTGCAGGTGGTGACCACAGACCACTTCTCAGTTCCTATGCTTCCTGGCTGATGTTTTGGTCACTTTTGAATGCTGGCGGTGCTTTCACTCTAGTGGTAGCATGAGACGGAGTCTACAACCCACACAAGTGGCTCAGGTAGTGCAGCTCATCCAGGATGGCACATCAATGCGAGCTGTGGCAAGAAGGTTTGCTGTGTCTGTCAGTGTAGTGTCCAGAGCATGGAGGCGCTACCAGGAGACAGGCCAGTACATCAGGAGACGTGGAGGAGGCCGTAGGAGGGCAACAACCCAGCAGCAGGACTGCTACCTCCGCCTTTGTGCAAGGAGGAGCACTGCCAGAGCCCTGCAAAATGACCTCCAGCAGGCCACAAATGTGCATGTGTCTGCTCAAACGGTCAGAAACAGACTCCATGAGGGTGGTATGAGGGCCCGACGTACACAGGTGGGGGTTGTGCTTACAGCCCAACACCGTGCAGGACGTTTGGCATTTGCCAGAGAACACCAAGATTGGCAAATTCGCCACTGGCGCCCTGTGCTCTTCACAGATGAAAGCAGGTTCACACTGAGCACATGTGACAGATGTGACAGAGTCTGGAGACGCCGTGGAGAACGTTCTGCTGCCTGCAACATCCTCCAGCATGACCGGTTTGGCGGTGGGTCAGTCATGGTGTGGGGTGGCATTTCTTTGGGGGGCCGCACAGCCTTCCATGTGCTCGCCAGAGGTAGCCTGACTGCCATTAGGTACCGAGATGAGATCCTCAGACCCCTTGTGAGACCATATGCTGGTGCGGTTGGCCCTGGGTTCCTCCTAATGCAAGACAATGCTAGACCTCATGTGGCTGGAGTGTGTCAGCAGTTCCTGCAAGAGGAAGGCATTGATGCTATGGACTGGCCCGCCCGTTCCCCAGACCTGAATCCAATTGAGCACATCTGGGACATCATGTCACGCTCCATCCACCAACTCCACGTTGCACCACAGACTGTCCAGGAGTTGGCGGATGCTTTAGTCCAGGTCTGGGAGGAGATCCCTCAGGAGGCCACACACACTACTGAGGCCACACACACTACTGAGCCTCATTTTGACTTGTTTTAAGGACATTACATCAAAGTTGGATCAGCCTGTAGTGTGGTTTTCCACTTTAATTTTGAGGGTGACTCCAAATCCAGACCTCCATGGGTTGATACATTTGATTTCCATTGATCATTTTTGTGTGATTTTGTTGTCAGCACATTCAACTATGTAAAGAAAAAATTCATTCAGATCTAGGATGTGTTATTTTAGTGTTCCCTTTATTTTTTTGAGCAGTGTATATAGGGACCCTATATATAACCTTTGGCTACATTGAATGTTTTTTCTTAGCTACTTCATGTAGCTAACATATTCATGCTTTACGTATCCCTCTTTGATTTAGAAGATACAGTTGCACAAACAACATGCTGATTTAGGTCACACCATCCCTGGTATTATCAGGCTGTATAGCTAGTTACACAAAAGTATTCATCCCCCTTGGCGTTTTTCCTATTTTGTTGCATTACAACCTGTAATTTAAATTGATTTTTATTTGGATTTCATGTAATGGACATACACAAAGTAGTCCAAATTGGTGAAGTGAAATGAAAATAGAACTTGTTAAAAAAAAGTATAAAAAATTAATAACAGAAAAGTGGGGCGTGCATATGTATTCACCCCCTTTGCTAAGAAGCCCCTAAATAAGATCTGGTGCAACCAATACTTTCAGAAGTCACATTATTAGTTAAATAAAGTCCACCTGTGTGCAATCTAAGTGTCACATGATCTGTCACATGATCTCAGTATATATACACCTGTTCTGAAAGGCCCCAGAGTCTGCAACACCACTAAGTAAGGGGCCCCACCAAGCAAGCGGCACCATGAAGACCAAGGAGCTCTCCAAACAGGTCAGGGACAAAGTTGTGGAGAAGTACAGATCAGGGTTAGGTTATAAAAAAATATCTGAAACTTTGAACATCCCACGGAGCACCATTAAATTATTAAAAAATGGAAAGAATATGGCACCACAACAAACCTGCCAAGAGAGGGCCGCCCACCAAAACTCACGGACCAGGCAAGGAGGGCATTAATCAGATGCAACAAAGAGACCAAAGATAGCCCTGAAGGAGCTGCAAAGCTCCACAGCGGAGATTGGAGTATCTGTCCATAGGACCACTTTAAGCCGTACACTCCACAGAGCTGGGCTTTACGGAAGAGTGGCCAGAAAAAAGCCATTGCTTAAAGAAAAAAATATGCAAACACATTTGGTGTTCGCCAAAAGGCATGTGGGAGACTCTCCAAACATATGGAAGAAGGTACTCTGATCAGATGAGACTAAAATTGAGCTTTTTGGCCATCAAGGAAAACGCTATGTCTGGCGCAAACCCAACACCTCTCATCACCCCGAGAACACCATCCCCACAGTGAAGCATGGTGGTGGCAGCATCATGCTGTGGGGATGTTTTTCATCGGCAGGGACTGGGAAACTAGTCAGAATTGAAGGAATGATGGATGGCGCTAAATACAGGGAAAATCTTGAGGGAAACCTGTTTCAGTCTTCCAGAGATTTGAGACTGGGACGGAGGTTCACCTTCCAGTAGGACAATGATCCTAAGCATACTGCTAAAGCAACACTCAAGTGGTTTAAGGGGAAACATTGAAATGTCTTGGAATGGCCTTGTCAAAACCCAGACCTCAATCCAATTGAGAATCTGTGGTATGACTTAAAGATTGCTGTACACCAGCGGAACCCATCCAACTTGAAGGAGCTGGAGCAGTTTTGCCTTGAAGAATGGGCAAAAATCCCAGTGGCTAGATGTGCCAAGCTTATAGACTGTGTTGCCAACTTAGCGACTTTGTCGCTATATTTAGCGAGTATTCAGACCCCTCTAGCGACACATTTTCAAAATAGCGACTAACGACAAATCTAGCGACTTTTTCTGGTGTTATTGGAGACTTTTGGAGACTCTGACGTGAAAGCACGTATCGTTCTTACTCTTCTCAACGAGCAGCGGGTGCTGCCATGGGCCCCATCCCTGTCCCAAAGCACTCACAGGCGGCCCAGTCCTCGCACAGCAGTCCCTCCCAGCTGCAGTCAGAGCAGGAGATGTTCACCCCTCCGCGTCCAGACTGCAAATGAATCGCGCATGCGGGAAGCCGCCGCTGGCTGATCCCGCCCTGGCTTACATTCAGGGCAGGATGTAAATGTAAAGAAAGTTCATTTGTAGTTCTAAACATATTTAGGGTGTTTTTTTACTCACTTTATGTCTCTCTCACGATGTTATTCCTCTCTCCTACAGCGTCCGTCACAATTACATGCACATGGCCAATTATGCAAATTAGGTGATTACATCATTTAGCGACTTTTAGGACAGCCAATAGCTACTTTCCTTACTGAGGAGTTGGCAAAGATCTGTGCTAGATCTGTGTGGAAAGTGGCATAGAGAGACAGTGGAGAGAGATGACTCAAGTAGCAGAGTAAACTATAAAAATTGACGTTACACACGGCTTATCACATTTAACAAACCAAACATACAAATACCATTAAGTAAAAACCCAACCCGGTTCCTACATCAATACTGTTATATACGGTATACCGCCCAGCCCTATCTGTGACCAACATATGCATATCTGTATTCCCAGTCATGTGAAATCCATAGATTAGGGCCTAATTAATTTATTTCAATTGACTGATTGTAACTCAGTAAAATCTTAGAAATTGTTGCGTTTATATTTTCGTTCAGTGTAGTTTTTCAAAATGTTTGTACTCTTCCTTTAATTTTTTCCCTTTGTAAAAACTCAAAGTCCCATAATACAACGCTGAATTATTTTGTGCGCAGTTTTCTGGGCCAGATAAATGGTGGCAGTGTGAGGGACATTGGATGACTTTGTTCCTGTGGTTAGCAGGGTAGCTGGCTAGTTAGGTCGTTTATTTGACAGGTACTACATTTTCAGAGCCATGGAGGCCCTTATCCCAGTCATCAATAAATTACAAGATGTGTTTAATACAGTTGGCGCGGACATTATCCAGCTGCCGCAGATTGCTGTTGTTGGAACGCAGGTAAGAATCGCGAGCCAACTAACTAGCATGCCTTCACCTAGTTGCATTCCCTTAACGTTAGATAGCTAACGTTAGCTACTGTTGTCTGTATCACGCAGTTCCACTTCGAGATATTTCACTGCACATTAACATTTACGTGTGCTGTGTTTTCGAGGAAAGGTTAGCTAACGTTAGTGACCTTAGCTGTAGCAACTTAGTTAGATAGTTAGCTGGCTAGTGGCTGTGACTCATGAACTGCTAACTAGTTAACTTAGTTATCGCGAATTTGACAGGCAGTAGAACCTGGCTAACGTTACCCCTGTGTAATGTTGAAACACAGCTGTGCTCAGCAGAAGTGTCATTGAAATGAAATGGCATCACATGCCTCTAAATTTACATATTACACATTTACTGATTTGTTTACACTGGTATCCCCCTCCTAGCCTTTGAAGACTTCAATGGTTTTGAATGAATGAATGAAAACATAATTGAAATCTTCCAAGACATCCATCCCTCCCTTGTCTTATTCCTTGAATTACCATCCATTTGCCCAGAGGAATTGAGAGTAAACAGCATTGCCAACAGCGTACTACCCTGCATCCCACTGTGGCTCCTGATTCTCAGGGGGGCAATTTCTGAATTTGTTGACCCACATTTCTAAAAGATTTGCCCACAAAAAGAAGGGCAGAAAAGGCAATACCAAACATTTATATGATTCAAAAGGTTGCTTACAAAAGAATGTTATTATTAAAAATACAGGTGTCTTACATTGCTCAACACTGCAAAACAATATGCTTCATAAAACACCTCATCTAATTGTGCCACAAAGTTGACAAGTCCAAGAAAAATACCAGGGTTGGTGGAGCCCTCAGTTTCATCTTTGCCTCGCAAAGCTAACTCAAACACTCCGCAAAACTTCACACACTGGATTAGCCGGCTGAGGATGTGGCGGTTCTTGCTAACCTCATCGTTGTGGCGGCGGACAGCTAGCCTGTATCCCTCATCCAGTTGAGTGGCAATGTTCACTCTCCCCAAAGCAGACAATCTCAAACAGCTATCCATGTGGGTCTTTGACAGCTCATGTTTCTTAATCTTTTCTGAAAGATGGTGCATGTCCGTTACACCAGTCGCTGTCCAAGCGGTGCTGTCTGCCGTGCCGCCTTCAGGGTGAAAGAGTAAGCAGGGGTAGCAGAAGACTGCATTAGCTACATCGCAGCCTGCTAGCCAGGTTTTTCGTTCGTACCAATTTTTGGAAAATCCTCGGGTGTAGGACTTTCCCCCTTTAGTAGAAACCTGTTGAATTATTACATTTGGTCTGGGAGGTCCTAATTGTTTCGTTGCCAATTTATCTTGATTTGTTCGCCGACAAAAAGGAACTTCTTTCAAAGAGACAATCGAGTTGCACTGAACGCTAGCCATCTTGACAGTAGTACGTGAATTGATTGACGCTGCTACCCGCTCTTTTCTTAGTTACGTTCATGGTTATGTTACGTATGACGAAAGCGCGTAAGTGCAAGCCCTCCCGGAACCCATAGAGATTGTATTGAAAGCTCTGATATTTGAAAAAAAAAGATTTTACATGAGAGTCTGTGAGAGACTTCTGGGGCGATTTTCAACCAGACTGAAATCGCCCCAAAAGGGGCGGGGCCATTTGAAGCACGACTTTAGCCTGATTGGACATTTAGTGGCAGATCAGACGTCTAGATTAGAACACTGATAACTACTGTTGCCGTGATATAATTGATTAGAAAAAAAATCCTTTCCTTTTCCCGTTTGGCAGTGCGTCGCCCATATCGCCCTAATGAACTCACCGCCCCTGATCCCACTGCTGGTTTGCCTCTGATGCTTAGTAGGGTCGGTCCCAGGATGCGAGACCAGATGCTGCTGGAAGTGGTGTTGGAGGGCCAGTAGGGGAAAGGTTTCCGTTAGCGGGTAAATGACGGCTTTTGGCCCATAAAAAAATAAATAAATGAAAAGCCGATTTTAAAAAAAATTGTTCAGGGGAAAAAAACAATCCATTGCAAAATAATGTTTTTTTTTATTCATTGATGGAAATACCAGTTGATGTGCTCCAACTTCAAAGACAAAGATACTTTATAGGCTTACATGTTGACCACACCGACAGCGTCGCGTGCGTGAGCGTTGCAAAATAAATGTACACATACATGTTATTCAATCATTGCTCGCCAGCGTCTGCATAGCCAGGCGCTAAACTAGAACTTGGTTCTATTTGTGATGCTTGAAGTGCTGCAAGTCCCGCCTCTCCCATCTCCTCATTGGGTTTTAGGAGCAAATACCCACGTGGGTGATTGAAAGATGAAGTGAGGTCCACACTCCAGTCCAGTTGGTGGTGGTAATGCACCTTAAAGTTGGTTGCCAACCGCCATATAAAGTCCAAAGAAGAATCCTGAAGGAGGAGAGATTACTAGAAACTAACTCTGTTTACTCTTTTATCTGTGGATTAGTTGTTGGAGTAGAGGACCTTGTGCATTTCAGGTAAAATAACAACCCAATGTTTACATCCCAGGACAAATTAAATCAAATCAAATTGTATTTGTCACATACACGTGTTTAGCAGATGTTATAGCGGGTGTAGCAAAATGCTTCTGCTTCTAGCTCTGACAGTGCAGTAATATCTAACAAGTAATATATAACAATTTCACAACATATACCTAATACACACAAAACTAGTAAGGAATGGAATTTAAGAATATATACATATATGGACAAGCAATGACAGAGCGGCAAGGAATAAGATACAGTAGAATATTATAGAATACAATGCAGTATATACATATGAGATGAGTAGTGCAAGATATGTAAACATTATTAAAGTGACTAGTGTTCCATTTCTTAAAGTGGCCAGTGATTTCAATAGGCAGCAGCAGCCTCTAATGTGCTAGTGATGGCTATTTAACAGTCTGATGGCCTTGAGATATAAGCTGTTTTTCATTCTCTTGGGTTCCAGCTTTGATGCACATGTACTGACCTCGCCTTCTGGATGATAGCGGGGTGAACAGGCAGTGGCTCGGGTGGATGATGTCCTTGATGATATTTTTGGCCTTCCTGTGACATTGGGTGCTGTATGTGTCTTGGAAGGCAGGTAGTTTGCCCCCGATAATGCGTTCAGCAGACCGCAACACCCTCTGGAGAGCCCTGCGGTTGCGGGTGGTGCTGTTGCCGTACCAGGTGGTGATACAGCCGAATAAGATGCTCTCAATTGTGCATCTGTAAAAGTTTGTGAGGGTTTTAGGTGCCAAGCCGAATTTCTTCAGCCTCCTGAGGTTGAAGAGGCTCTGTTGCGCCTTCTTCACCACACTGTCTGTGTGGGTGGACCATTTAAGTTTGTCGGTGATGTGTATGCCAAGCAATTTTAAGGTTTCCACCTTCTCCACTGCGGTCCCGTCGATGTGGATAGGGGGGTGCACCCTCTGCTGTTTGCTGAAGTCCACGATCATCTCCTTTGTTTTGTTGACGTTGAGTGAGAGGTTATTTTCCTGGCACTCCCAGAGCCATCACCTCCTCCCTGTAGGCAGTCTCGTCATTGTTGGTAATCAAGCCTACTACTGTTGTGTCATCTGCAAACTTGATGATTGAGTTGGAGGCGTACTTGGCCACGCAGTCATGGGTGAACAGGGAGTACAGGAGGGGGCTGAGCATGCACCCTTGTGGGGCCCCAGTGTTGAGGATCAGCGAAGTGGAGATGTTGTTTCCTACCTTCACCACCTGGGGGCGGCCCGTCAGGAAGTTCAGGACCCAGTTGCACAGGGCAGGGTTCAGACCCTCGAGCTTGATGATGAGCTTGGAGGGTACTATGGTGTTGAATGCTGAGCTGTAGTCAGTGAATTCTTACATACAGTGAGGGAAAAAAGTATTTGATCCCCTGCTGATTTTGTACGTTTGCCCACTGACAAAGACATGATCAGTCTAATTTTAATGGTAGATTTATTTGAAAAATCCAGAAAAACGCATGTAAAAAATGTTATAAATTGATTTGCATTTTAATGAGGGAAATAAGTATTTGACCCCTCTGCAAAACATGACTTAGTACTTGGTGGCAAAACCCTTGTTGGCAATCACAGAGGTCAGACGTTTCTTGTAGTTGGCCACCAGGTTTGCACACATCTCAGGAGGGATTTTGTCCCACTCCTCTTTAAAGATCTTCTCCAAGTCATTAAGGTTTCGAGCCTGACGTTTAGCAACTCGAACCTTCAGCTCCCTCCACAGATTTTTTATGGGATTAAGGTCTGGAGACTGGCTAGGCCACTCCAGGACCTTAATGTGCTTCTTCTTGAGCCACTCCTTTGTTGCCTTGGCCATGTTTTTTGGGTCATTGTCATGCTGGAATACCCATCCACGACCCATTTTCAATGCCCTGGCTGAGGGAAGGAGGTTCTCACCCAAGATTTGACGGTACATGGCCCCGTCCATTGTCCGTTTGATGCGGTGAAGTTGTCCTTTCCCCTTAGCAGAAAAACACCCCCAAAGCATAATGTTTCCACCTCCATGTTTGACGGTAGGGATGGTGTTCTTGGGGTCATAGGCAGCATTCCTCCTCCTCCAAACACGTTGAGTTGATGCCAAAGAGCTCGATTTTGGTCTCATCTGACCACAGCACTTTCACCCAGTTCTCCTCTGAATCATTCAGATGTTCATTTGCAAACTTCAGTGCTTTCTTGAGCAGGGGGACCTTGCGGGCGCTGCAGGATTTCAGTCCTTCACGGCGTAGTGTGTTACTAATTGTTTTCTTGGTGACTATGGTCCCAGCTGCCTTGAGATCATTGACAAGATCCTCCCGTGTAGTTCTGGGCTGATTCCTCACCGTTCTCATGATCATTGCAACTCCACGAGGTGAGATCTTGCATGGAGCCCCAGGCCGAGGGAGATTGACAGTTCTTCTGTGTTTCTTCCATTTGCGAATAATCGCACCAACTGTTGTCACCTTCTCACCAAGCTGCTTGGCGATGGTCTTGTAGCCCATTCCAGCCTTGTGTAGGTCTACAATCTTGTCCCTGACATCCTTGGAGAGCTCTTTGGTCTTGGCCATGGTGGAGAGTTTGGAATCTGATTGATTGCAGGTGTCTTTTATACAGGTAACAAACTGAGATTAGGAGCACTCCCTTTAAGAGTGTGCTCCTAATAAGTGTGCTCCTAATCTCAGCTCGTTACCTGTATAAAAGACAGCTGGGAGCCAGAAATCTTTCTGTTTGAGAGGGGGTCAAATACTTATTTCCCTCATTAAATAGCAAATCAATTTATAACATTTTTGACATGCGTTTTTCTAGATTTTTTGTTTGTTATTCTGTCTCTCACTGTTCAAATAAACCTAACATTAAAATTATAGACTGATCATGTCTTTGTCAGTGGGCAAACGTACAAAATCAACAGGGGATCAAATACTTTTTTCCCTCACTGTAGGTATTCCTCTTGTCCAGATGGGATAGGGCAGTGTGCATTGTGATGGCGATTGCATCGTCTGTGGATCTATTGGGGTGGTAAACAAATTGAAGTGGGTCTAGGGTGACAGGTAAGGTAGAGGTGATGTGATCCTTGGCTAGTCTCTCAAACCACTTCATGATGACCAAGGGAGGTCCAATTGAGCGATAGTCATTTAGTTCAGTTACCTTTGCTTTCTTGGGTACAGGAACAATGGTGGCCATCTTGAAGCATGTGGGAACAGCAGACTGGGAAAGGGAGAGATTGAATATGTCCATAAACACACCAGCCAGCTGGTCTGCGCATGCTCTGAGGATGTGGCTAGGGATGCCGTCTGGGCCCGGCAGCCTTGCGGGGGTTAACATGCTTAAATGTCTTAATCACGTCGGCCACGGAGAAGGAGAGGCCACAGTCCTTGGTAGTGGGCCTCGTCAGTGGCACTGTGTTATCCTCAAAGCGGGCGAAGAAGGTGTTTAGCTTGTCTGGAAGCGAGACGTCGGTGTCGGCTAGCAACAGCAAGCTAGCTAAATTGCCATAAATGTTTAATGCTTTTCAACCGGTCTCCAAATTAATATAGTTGGTTTAGAGTTTGTTTTGATTTTTCAACCTGCGTGTCCTGATCGCGTCTGGTGTGGGTGGACAAAATCAACATGCACATGCACAACAGCACATGATGGCGCACACGGACGCACGCTTGCGAGCGGTCTGGTCAGCATGTAATAAATCCTCAAGCTGCTTGGAAATTAGCGTCGGGTGTATGTGTTTCTATTTTTACTCACACAAAAGACGAAACATCCTCATAAGGGACATCAGCTAAGTGTACCCCGACTGGCCAACATTGGCGAAGATTGTGTTGATTATCCCCGTTTCCAGTGTGCCCGCCAAGAGGTGATTGTTTCTCCAAAACAGAGTAAAGACGGCCTCGAGATCGCACCTTCTTGAGGACAAAGTAACAAGGCTGATGCGCATCGCAAGCTGCTCCAAGCAGTTGGACAGTTTTGACTTCCCAACAGCAGCGGCTCACTTTGAGCAGGCCAAGGTCCGCCGCAAACGCAAGTAAATTAGAGGCAAATTACAGCCTCCTTAATTTGAGCTTTGGAAACAAGTGCTTTCATAAATGCATGGCGCGGGCCTCGTTTCACAGGAGCATTGTAAAATAAGCTTTCTCTCAATGAATCAGACTTAACGAATTTTGTTTATTTACAGATCGAATTTGATTGTCCAACATCAGTTTTATTTCTTCTTTTTGTGGCCGCCTAGTGTCCTATTTCCACTGCTGAATTGCAGTGGGAGTGGGGCGGGCCGGCCTGGTCATGGCTAGATTGTATTTGAAAACAGCTGTTTTGTTATTTATTCATAATACATTTCATACAAATATCCTATAGGACAGGTTGTTCTCAAATTATATTATACAAATTTTATATTTTGAAGTTGTATTACGGTGTTGGCGACTTGTTCTTCTGTAGGCAACTTTCTAGGCCTAATGTTTTTTTTCTTAAATTGTTTTAATTTATGATTCATGCCAGGGATGAAGACACAATGTTTTTCTTTTCAAAACCTGTCATGTTGGTATAAGAACATTGTTCTACTTTATTTTATTACAACGTTACAGGCAAATGTCTATTCTGTTAAAATGAATTACAATAATCTAAATGTGATTTCTTTAGCACCTTGAGGGGACGCCCTAGTGCGTTACACACCCATTGCATATGGATGTCTGGTAAATTTCTCAAATGTCCGGTAAATGAAAACGTTGCCGGTCACGTTGTCCGGTGCCAAATTTTCTTCACGGAAACCCTGAGTAGGGGGCACTCTTCCCTCTGGTCTAAGGAGAGCCCAATGTCCCAGGGCAGTGAAGGGGACATTGCACTGCGTAGGGTGCTGTCTTTTGGATGGGATGTTAAATGGGTGTCCTGACTCTCTGTGATCATTTTAAAAATCCCATGGCACATATCGTAAGAGTAGGGATGTTAACCCCGGTGTCATAGCAACATTCCCAACCCGGCCCCATTCCATCATGGCCACCTAATTATCCCCTTTATTCCTAATTAGCATATCACTCCTCACCTCTGCACCTAATAGCTCATGTGTGGCAAGCATTAATGGCACAAAAATGGTCGACCTGCATCACCCAGGTGGGTGCCGCACATTGGTGGTGGATGAAGCGAGTTTCCCCCTACTATGTAAAGTGCTTTGAGTTCCTCAGTTGGTAGAAAAGTACTATATGAATCCAATTAGTTATTATTATCATATAGGCTACACCTGTACTCTTCTCTCCACACACAGCTCTTGTTGGCCTAGGTGTTACCTAATAGGTTGACAGTAGCATGGCATCCTCTCTGTCACCTTCTCTGTCACTGTCTCAGGCCTTTGGCAACTGTCTGAACTGAAGGTGCCATGGCGACATGGCGACACTTGGATGCCCCAAGTGTGTGTCTGCCCTTGTCTCGTTATTCGTTAGTGCTTTTCAAAGGACAGATGCACACAGAGGGGCTCTTTTGAAAGATCCTTGACCCTGTCTCTGTCAGTTCTATAATTACCACACATGAATCGAGCCCAAACTAAGTTAGATCAACTACAGCCAGGCGCAGCTGAGGTGAGATCAGGTAGGTTCAAATGTTGACTTGTGATGAGTTGTGGCTGTCGTAGCCTCAGTTGAACTTTAGTTTTGGAAGTGATGTTTACTGCTAGCTCACTTTTACTTTTGCTCTGTAGGTGAGCATGCTGTGTGTTTCTGTCTCCAGAGCAGTGGGAAGAGTTCAGTGCTAGAGGCTCTGGTGGGCAGAGACCTTCTGCCCCGGGGTACTGGCGTCGTCACCCGTCGGCCCCTCATCCTCCAGCTGGTCCACGTGGACCCAGAGGACCGCAGGAAGACCAGCGAGGAGAATGGTACTGTGAACACAACACTTATCACTGCTTTAGGGTTGCAAAATTCTGGGAATTTTCCCAAAAGTTCCCAGGTTTTCAGAAACCCTGGTTGGAGGAGCCCCCCCCTCTGCTTAGGCTATTCCCTTCTAATTCTGCATGGGAATCATCCAACCAAGGTTTTTGAAAAAGATGCCTATGTACCAATGTTCCCTCCTAATTTTTTCGGCACTGAGCAAATTTCAGGTCTGTTGAGTGCAAACTTGAAAGTTGTGAAAATTCTGTGCAACTTCGAGCGCGCGTTTACTGTGAACACTGAGGCTGTACCCGCTTTAAGTTAGTTTTAACCGTGCCCAAGTAGGCTGCTGTGGCTATTTGATCATAATGTAGGCCTATCAGAGTGGCCTACATTAAAAACAATGGAGAAATTCCATCCCATAACATTTTAACATGGAAACAGCCTACAGTAGCAGCCAATGTGTGGTGTTCAGTGTAGGCCTACATTCCATAAAACCTTTGAAAAAATACATGCAGGTCTTAACATTAACCTGTTTATCCACTTGTCCTTCAGATAAGGAGGTGACTGAAAATGTTGTTGTTTGATGCAAGAAACCACTTTACCAAATAAAATGCATTATTATTCTCATACCATTATTACAGAGAATCAGACAAATTATTCTATCGTCTGCCTATTGGCTACTTAGCTGTCTCAAAATACAACACTGCCCCTTTAAGACAAAAAAGGTCTTTACCTGACACGCTTTTCAAAGATGTCCAGAAAGGTACATGTTTTGTGCTCTTGTAGGAAGCAATCACTCCCCTATTGCTGACTACAAATGATCTATAACTGGGCTAATAACTCATTAACTAGCAAAGGATATGAACAAAATGTGCACATGTGGCTACATGCAGCTCTCTCTTTGATCTCAAAACAAGTGCATCTGCTCACGACCACTCATGCTGTAAACACAGTCCAGTTCAACGTAAATGGCACAGATCCATATATGGCAATGGTCAATTTGCATATAGGCCTACTGCAGCTCTGATTGGTTATGCCGCACCGGTCTGTGTAGAGTACGGGCTGAGTCGTGTGTGTCAATGCAATAGAATTCTACTCCGATTCGTTCTGTTTACAACAAAATCTCTTGCATAGTTCATTTTGTTTCGGTATGTTGCATTGAAAGTTGCTAATATTGCGTTTATTCGATCCCAATTGCCACAGTTGAGGGATGTTCAATCTTGTGTTTCTCTCTGTGGGCTGATATTTCTTCTGCATGGCAGTCCACATGTTGTTGTAGACCTAAGTCCCCCCCCCCTCGTCCCTCATGTCTACAGATTCTACTCAAGTTATATCTAGAGGCTCCTGAATATTATTACTGAGCCATTAAGTCACAACAGCGTGCAATGTCACGTTACTCAATCTTCAATGTCATCCAAGACATTTGAACACAAAACCAAGCCTATGCCCTGCTGCTGGGAATAGCCACACACCGGATGGATCATGACAAAGAGGACTGCATTGCTGCAGATGGCGAATTGGTGCAGGAGCTGCAGCTAGGCTAACTGCTAACCATTTTCCCCCTGTCATCTGATCTCTCCTGAACCACAGACCCCAATGCCTGGAAAAAGGGGCGCCTTTACAAAGGTCTCCTTTTCATTGTTTCTCCTTGCCTTTTGTCTGCGTTCAACCATCCGCTTTTTACTCTAGGCCCTATCCCTTTCATTTTGCTCCCCTTCCATCCTGCCTATTGTTTTTGTAGCCTCGATTTAAAGCTGCCAAACTTAGGCTTAGCTTGATTCAGCAAATCAAGCCCAACAAGGTCAGTCTCATGTTTCAGACAAAACACTTGTTTTGTCTGTATAAGGACATCCTGTATAAAAGATAAACTATTCTGGAGTGCATGATCAGTGTCAACTTTTTCAGAAATTATGCGAAGTATGGCCTTTAAGGGCAAATGAAGTGTTCTGTTCCAATTCACGTTCATTTAAACATGCTGAAAACAAACACCTCTTAAAATGTCCTCAAATAGCTGCTTGTACCGAACTAACAGCTGATTTGGTTTTCTTAGTTTGGTAGGTAATTATTTCAGTTTAAATAATCCAACTAATACATAGATTATTAGTTGAAAAAATAACTTTGTTGTTTATGCTCCCCATTACGCACCAACCATGTTTTGGCTTGTCTCACAGGCATATTTTTGTTGTTGACAAACAATGTTTCTCACTGTATTGTTTGTTTGTTCAAATCTCTGGCCCTATGCCTCTGGGTGATTGGTCTGCAGGACGTATTCCCATCCCAGCTGAACAAACAAAAAATTATTCCTTGAGACATGACTCAACCCGACCCAATGACAATATCAGCCGGTCCCAATTCACTCCCCTTCCCCTGGCCCTAACCTTTTCTTTTTCAGATCTGTAAGATGTAAATTATTTATTGTTTATCTACACCATTCAGATATGCAAACATGGGTTCGGGCCAAGGTAAAGGGGTAGGGAGTGAGTTGGGACCTGCTCTATAATCACAACACTGGTCATTACCACTCCAAATGACATCTGCCAGACAGGCTGGGGAATGTGAATGACACTGTTTTGTTCCCTTAGGCGTCGATGGAGAGGAATGGGGCAAGTTTCTACACACCAAAAACAAGGTATGTCTCAGTAACCATTCCTCAGAGCTAGTTTCTCTGTTGGTTCAAAGCCTGCAGGTTGCTGACAAAGTGAGGCACCTCCTCCAACTATCTGTTCATCTCAGTGGAGGTCCCTGCCCTTTCACTACTACAAATATACATGCAGCTTAAATATTTGATTGACCTGACCTGATATAGACATGCATTCATGCAAAGCATTGTATTGATTTATTGACTGAAGATCACTGGAAAAGCTATATGGGTTTTGTAGCTTTGTATGGAGTGTTTGTTTGACAGGAATCCTATTTAAATCACCTCAGGCACACACCCTCTCACAGTCGCAGGCAAAAAAGACACAGGAGTACAGTAGTACTAATGTCTTCTTGAGGGAATGGCCCAGAGCATAAAGTAGAGATGAGGGAATAGGGCAGAATAAACAGTCGAGATGAGGGAATAGGGTAGAATATACAGTCGATGAGGGAATAGCGTAGAATATACAGTCGAGATGAGGAAATAGGGTAGAATATACCGTCGAGATGAGGGAATAGGGTAGAATATACAGTCGAGATGAGGGAATAGGGTAGAATATACAGTCGAGATGAGGGAATGGGGCAGAATATACAGTCGAGATGAGGGAATGGGGCAGAATATACAGTTGAGATGAGGCAATGGGGCAGAATATACAGTTGAGATGAGGCAATGGGGCAGAATATACAGTAGAGATGAGGGAATGGGGCAGAATATACAGTAGAGATGAGGGAATAGGGCAGAATATACAGTAGAGATGAGGGAATAGGGCAGAATATACAGTAGAGATGAGGGAATAGGGCAGAATATACAGTAGAGATGAGGGAATAGGGCAGAATATACAGTAGAGATGAGGGAATAGGGCAGAATATACAGTAGAGATGAGGGAATAGGGCAGAATATACAGTAGAGATGAGGGAATAGGGCAGAATATACAGTAGAGATGAGGGAATAGGGCAGAATATACAGTAGAGATGAGGGAATAGGGTAGAATATACAGTAGTGCTGAGGGAATAGGGCAGAATATACAGTTGGGTCCAGATCATAGTAAATCACATTTACGTCATATGCAGCTATATAAACCGTAATTTAATCATGTGTTATACCGTGCAGTACCCTTAAAAAATATTTTTTTGTTTTTAGATCTACACAGACTTCGATGAAATCAGGCTTGAGATCGAAGCTGAAACAGAAAGAGTTTCTGGCAATAACAAGGTATGTCAACAATAAAAAGGATTTGGTGCAAAGGTAGTCCCAAGCAATGTCAAACAGATGTTATCATTGCCAACTGCTGAACTGACATTTCTTTGTTTTCTTCCAGGGAATCACTGACGAGCCCATTCACCTGAAGATCTTCTCCCCTCACGTAGTCAACCTCACACTAGTGGATCTGCCAGGTATCACAAAGGTACACACAAAGCAATGTGTTTTTATTTCAAATCTAAATGCTAATTGAGTTGCGCAAGTGTGATCGAATTGGTTTGAACCCGCAACAATACTTATTTAGCCAGCTGAGCTAAAGCCTAGGCTTTCACTCCAGGAGCTAACGCAAGTCTTCAGATCTCAGGCAAGATTACTCATCATGCACTGAACCACCTCTCTTTCCTAGTATATTGAGTGAGACAGAAGTATGGTTTGAAATATGAAATGGGCAGGTATTAATTGTGTGTGTGTGCATGTTCTACCCAGGTCCCGGTGGGAGACCAGCCCAAAGACATAGAGGTGCAGATCAAAGACTTGATCGTGAAGCACATCTCTAACCCCAACTCTATCATCCTGGCTGTGACTGCTGCCAACACAGACATGGCCACCTCAGAGGCCCTTAAAGTTGCCCGCGAGGTCGACCCCGATGGTAAACACCTCAATCTCTTTCTCTTCTTCACTCAGTCTCTGTTTCTCTTTTTTTGTTTTTCTATGTCTCTCTTCTCTTTGTGTGCGACTGTCTCTCTCTCTGCCTGTCTCTTTGCCTCTATGTCCTCTCTCCCACACTCTCCCTCTCTCTCGCTCTGTCTCTATCTGTTAACCTCAACTATCTGTCACCTGCAGTGGTTTCCTCTGATCCTTATATCAGACACGCCATGGCATACACCGCCTTTCAAAAACTCTTGATTACCTGGAAGTTGGCCCATGAGTTTTTCCTGACCATCTCACCTGACCAGGAAAACTCTAGCCTCTAGTTATAGGCTAAACTCCTGGCCCTATTTGGAGGTTATTATGGCTTTGGATCTGGTCCCATATCCATAAAGCATCTCAGAGTAAGATAGACGACCTAGGATCTGTTTTGCCTTTCAGATAATAATGAATATGATTTTATGGACAGGGGGGACCTGATCCTAGATCAGCACCTCTACCCTGATACGCTTTATGAGTATGGGTTCTGGGGTTTGTGTCACTGTGTGTAGGCAGGAGGACGTTAGCGGTGGTGACCAAACTGGACCTGATGGATGCTGGGACTGATGCCATGGACGTTCTGATGGGCCGGGTCATCCCTGTTAAACTTGGCCTCATTGGCGTGGTCAACAGGTCTGCACCATGACACAATAATCTTCAGTCTCTAACATGTTGAATATAGCAAGGGTTCAGCCCTATGGAAAATCCAGTATGTAAGGGTGTTATCAAAGGATGTTAGAAGCCAACAGTCACTTAGGATCAAAATGGAAAAAGGGCCAGCATTCCTTAAGTTTTGTTAGGATTTTTCATTTAGCACTCTCTTATCCAGAGCGACTTAGAGTTAGTACATTCATCTTAAGATGGCTATGTGGGACAACCACATATCTCCGTCATAGTAAGTACATTTTTCCTCAAAGTAGCTATCGTCAAAGTCAGTGCTGGGGGGGGGGGGGGGGGGGGGGGAGTCAAGTGTGAATGTTAGTTCACGAAAGTGGGCTGCGGCGTTCTGGATAAGTTGCAGGGGTTTGATGGCACTAGCGGGGAGCCCAACCAACAGTGAGTTGCAGTAGTCCAGACGTACCTGGATTAGGACCTGCTCCGCTTCCTGTGTGAGGTAGGGTCGTACTCTACGGATGTTGTAGAGCATAAACCTGCAGGAGCGAGTCACTGCTTTGATATTTGCAGAGAACGACAGGGTGTTGTCCAGGAAAACGGCAAAGTTATTTGCACTCTCCGTGATGGACAGGTCTTGGAGCAGGCAGGCCTTCCACGGGAGGAACAGCAGCTCCATCTTGTCGAGGTTGAGCTTGAGGTGGTGGGCCGACATCCAAGCTGAGATATCTGCAAGGCACGCAGAGATGTGTCACCACCTGGGTGTCAGAAGGGGGGGAGGAGAAAAGTAGTTGAGTGTCATCTGTATAGCAATGATAGGATAGATAATGTGAGAATATGACCGAGCCTAGTGACTTGGTCTATAGGGAGAACCCAGTAGTGAGAACACGTGGTGCAGACAAAGATCCTATCAACGTCACCTGGTAGGAGCGGCCTGCCAGTTAGGAGATGCAGAGCCTGAGACGGCCCAGCCCGTGACAGGGTGGAGAGGAGGATCTGATGGTTCACTGTGTCGAAGGAAGTTAATAGATTTAGGAGGATGAGAACAGAGGAGCGAGAGTGAGCTTTGGCAGTGTGGAGAGCCTCCATGACACGGAGCAGAGCAGTCTCCGTTGAGTGACCCGTCTTGAGGCCTGAGTGGTTAGGGTCAAGATGATCGTTCTGCGAGGGAGTTGGAGAGACAGCATGCTTAAGTGTTTTGGAAAGAAAAGAAAGAAGGGATACCGGTCTGTTGTTTTTTTTGGACGTCGGAGGGGTCGAGTGTTGGTTTCTTGAGAAGGGGAGCGACTCTGGGCATTTTGAAGTCTGAGGGGGATGAGTTGCCGGTGGTCAGGGATGAGGAATGGGAAAGATGGTCTGGAGGAGGGGATGGGGTCGAACGGGCAGGTTGTCGGGTGGCTGGTCATCACTAGTTGCAGTAATTAATCTAGAGAGAGGGGGATAAAGAAGTTAACGTAGGGTAGTTCTGTGTGAGTGGGACCAGTGGACTCAATAGGCGGAGTGAATGAGGAGCTGATGTCGTCAACTTTCTTTTCAAAGGTAGTAAAATAACCTATCCTTCATTACTTTTTCCAGGAGTCAGCTGGACATCAACAATAAGAAGACAGTGGCCGACGCCATCCGTGATGAATATGCCTTCCTACAGAAGAAGTACCCCTCTCTCGCCAACAGAAACGGAACCAAATACCTGGCTAGAACATTGAACAGGTATGAGCAATGTTCCCTCTAAATTTTTTTGGCACTTAGCAAATTTCAGGTCTGCTGAGTGCAAACTGGAATGTTGTGCAACTTCCAGCACGCGTTTACTGTGAACACTGAGGTTGTACCCGCTTTAAGTTAGTTTTAACAGTGGCCATGTAGGCTGCTGTGGCTGTTTGATCATAATGTAGGCCTACCAGAGTGGCCTACCATCACAAACAATGGAGAAAATCCATTTTCTGTTTTGTTTTAGGGTATTATTATTATTATTATTATTATTATTATTATTATTATTTTATTTTTTTTACCCCCATTTTCGCCCCAATTTCGATCTTGTCTCATCGCCACAACTCCCCAACGGGCTCGGGAGGCGAAGGTCGAGTCATACGTCCTCCGAAACATGACCCGCCAAACCGCGCTTCTTAACACCCGCCCGCTTAACCCGGAAGCCAGCTGCATCAATGTGTCAGGAGGAAACACTGTTCAACTGACGACCGAGGTCAGCCTGCAGGCGCGCGGTCCGCCACAAGGAGTCGCTAGAGCGCGATTAGCCATGTAAAGCCCACCCGGCCAAACCCTCCCTTAACCCGGGCGAAGCTGGGCCAATTGTGTGCCGCCTTATGGGACTCCCGATCACGGCCGGTTGTTATACAGCCCGGACATCCCATAACATTTTAACATGGAAATAGCTGTTCTATCATTCAGCCTACAGTAGCAGCCAATGTGTGGTGTTCAATGTAGGCCTACAGTCCATAAAACTTTTGAAAAATACATGCAGGGCTTGACATTAACCTGTTCATCCACTTGTCCTTCAGACAAGGAGGTGACTGCTAAAATGTTGTAGTTTGATGCAATAAACCACTTTACAAAATAAAATGCATTATTATTCCCATACCATTATTACAGAGAATCAGACAAATTATGCCTGTCTCAAAATACAACCCTGCTTGTTTAACCTCTTAAGGATCAGACACTTTTTTCCAATTTTCGACTAAAATGTCATACCCAAATCTAACTGCCTGTAGCTCAGGACCTGAAGCAAGGATTTTTTTAAATGTTTGTAATCTTTATTTAACTAGGCAAGTCAGTTAAGAACAAATTCTTATTTACAATGACGGCCTACACCGGCCAAACCCGGACGACGCTGGGCCAATTGTGCGCTGCCCTATGGGACTCCCAATCACGGCCGGTTGTGATACAGCCTGGAATCGAACCAAGGGGTCTGTAGTGACGCCTCAAGCACTGAGATGCAGTGCCTTAGACCGCTACGCCACTCGGGAGCCCATGCATATTCTTGATACCATTTGAAAGGAAACACTTTGAAGTTTGTGGAAATGTGAAATTAATGTAAGAGAATATAACACATATCTGGTAAAAGAAAATACATGGGTTTTTATGTTTTTGTTTTTTTTGTTCCATCTTTGAAATGCAAGAGAAAGGCCACAATATAATATTGCAGTTTAGGCGCAATTTAGATTTTGGCCACAAGATGGCAGCAGTGTGTGTGCAAAGTTTCAGATTGATCCAGTGAAGCATTGCAATACTGGACTATTTTGTATCAAGTCTGCCCAAATGTGCCGAATTGGTCAATTGATACATTTTCAAGTACATAACTATAGAGAACATACAAAAAGGATATGGTAATACAAAATGTAAGTTTACACACTCCCAGCAATATCATACATGATGGATCATTAGTTTATACACTAACTTTCACACATCTAGATGGCCGGGCGTGGTGGGTGTGGAGCCAGAGACGGCAGGGGTTCAAATTGTAGAACCCAGTTCCTACATTTGAATATAAAAATTGATTTTATCAAACAAAACTATGCTACATTTTATCTATGGGACTCTTAGGATTACAAATCAGAGCAAGATTACTGAATGTAAGTACATTATTTACCTTCAGAGGTGAATGTATCAAACCAGTTGCCGTGATACGTTTTTTGTTGTTGTGCACTCTCCACAAACAATAGCATGATATTTTTTCACTGTAATAGCTACTGTAAATTGGACAGTGCGGTTAGATTAATTAGAATTTAAGGTTTCTGCCCATATAAGACATGTCTATGTCCTGGAAAGTTTGCTGTTACTTACAACAGTCATGCTAATCACATTAGCGCACGTTAGCTTAACCGTCCCGTATACGGGACACCGATCACGTAGAGGTTAATTAAGACAAAAAAGAAAGCCCTTTACCTGACATACTTTTCCAAGATGTCTAGAAATGTACATGTTTTGTACTCTTGTAGGAAGCAATCACTCCCCTATTGCTGACTACAAATGATCTATAACTGGGCTAATAACTCACTAACTAGCAAAGGATATGAACAAAATGTGCACACGTGGCTACATGCAGCTCTTGCTTTGATCTCAAAACAAGCGCATCTACTCACGACCACAGCTGTAAACACAGTCCAGTTCAAAGTAAATGGCACAGGTCCATATATGGCAATTGTCTATTTGCATATAGGCCTATGCAGCTCTGATTGGTTATACAACCACGGTCTGTGTAGAGTACGGGCTGAGTCGTGCTGCAATAGAATACTACTCTGACGCGTTCTGCCTACAGCAAAATCTCTTGCATAGTTCGTTTTGTTTCCTTATTTTTCATTGAAAGTGGCTAATATTGCATTGATTCGATCACAATTGCCACAGTAAAGGGAAACGTTGATAGTGTTAACTAACAGCGAAACCTATAGAAAGTTGAGGAAAGTTCAATCTGCGCGGCAGTCTTGGGGCTACTGCACGCACGCGCGCAGCTTAGAAGGAACATTGTGTATGAGGAAAAAATAGATATATTAGGCATACAAGGCCTCAACAGAAGTGTACTTTTGAGGTTTGAAAACATCTGGCCGACTATGATTTTAGAGTGTAATGTCACTCTAGAAACTAGCAACTATCATGTTGTCTGTTACCTTTTCTCTCTTTTCTCCTTCTCCTTGATGCCAGGTTGTTGATGCACCACATCAGAGACTGTCTCCCGGAGCTAAAGACTCGTATCAACGTTCTGGCGGCCCAGTACCAGTCCCTGCTAAGCAGCTATGGTGAACCTGTAGAAGACCAGAGCTCCACACTGCTCCAGCTCATCACAAAGTTTGCTGCAGAGTACTGCCACACCATCGAGGGCACCGCCAAGTACATAGAGACAACCGAGCTGTGAGTAACTTCTTCTTTCACTTGAAGGTCCAATGTAGCTGTTTTTCTCTATCAAATAATTTCTGGGTAACAATTTCAGTACCTTTCAGTTATTTTTTTAATTGTCAAAATTAAATAGAAATAGCTTCTTAGCAAAGGGCAATTTCTAAAGCAATAATTTGGCTAGGACTGTCTGGGAGTGGTCTGAGTGGGAAAGGGAAAATTAGCTCATATTGGCAGAGAGGTTTGGAACTCTGTCTTATTGATCTATTAACTAATTTACCACCTAGTGATGTCACCATGGAAGGCCAAAACTCCATCCCACCAAACAGGCTGACATTTCAGGCGGTCTTTTCAAACAGCTCTTACGCTAAAGGCATAATCATTTTCAAAATTTCAAGGAAATATATAGAGAACACAGGAAAATCACATTCATGACTGCACTGGGCCTTTAAATAAAGTGTGAAATCCTACTCTTTAGTATTTTTTCATTTATTTGAAGAGATTGACAGGAAGGATGGAGAACCTTTTTCAAACATCCTTGTACTTCTACTAGTTACCAGAAGGGGGCATACAAATTGAGCATCACAAGTCAACCAATTGGAAGCTTTTGCAGTCTAATGTAGTGGGTAGATTAAATGGGCTAAATTAAGTAGGTTACTACATTGATCACAAATGTCAAACATTTTGTTGCATGTATATGTAACAGTGGACATTCTCTTTCAGGTGTGGTGGAGCACGAATCTGTTATATTTTCCATGAGACTTTTGGTCGGACGCTGGAGTCAGTGGACCCTCTAGGAGGTCTGACCACCATAGATGTGCTAACAGCTATTAGAAATGCTACGGTGAGTGTGCAATGCTATATACTGTATGGATGTGCGCTACTATACTGAACAAAAATATAAATGCAACATGTAAAGTGTTGATCCCATGATTCATGAGCTGAAATGAAAGATCCCAGAAATGTTCCATACACACAAAAAGCTTATTTCTCTCAAATGTTGTGCAGAAATTTGTTTACATCCCTGTTAGTGAGCATTTATCCTTTGCCAAAATAACCCATCCACCTGACAGATGTGGCATATCAAGAAGCTGATTGAACAGCACGATCATTACACAGGTGAACCTTGTGCTGGGGACAATAAAAGGCAATCTAAATTGTGCAGTTTTGTCACACAGTGCCACAGATGTCTTAAGTTTTGAGAGAGTGTGCAATTGGCATGCTGACTGCAGGAATGTCCACCAGCGCTGTTGCCAGATAATTTAATGTTAATTTCCAACGTCGTTTTAGAGAATTTGGCAGTACGTCCAACCGGCCTCACAACCGCAGACCACGTGTAACCACGCCTGCCCAGGACTGCCACATCCGGCTTCTTCACCTGCGGGATCGTCTGAGACCAGCCATCCGGACAGCTGATGAAACTGAGGAGTATTTCTGTCTGTAATAAAGCCCTTTTGTGGGGAAAAACCCCATTCTGATTGGCTGGGCCTGGCTCCCCAGTGGGTGGGCCTATTCCCTCCCAGGCCCACCCATGGCTGCGCCCCAACCCAGTCATGTGAAATCCATAGATTAGGGCCTAATGAATTTATATGAACTGTATCTCAGTAAAATCATTGAAATTGTTGCATGTTGCGTTTTTTATATTTTTGTTCAGTATATATATCTATACAGGCTCACATTGGGCTGTATGTTTGTTGCGGAGTAGAATGATGGAATGTTGAGTTTTTTGATAATCAGTTTGATATGTGTTTTCGTTTCTTTGAGATTGGAAAAGAAGAACTTTATCGACCTCATGATTTATTGTGAGTTGAGATGAGTTGCATGTTAGCCAGAGAGGCTGTTGGCTAATGTAGTCTCTCTCTGTCTGTCTCTGTGTGTGTATGTAGGGCCCGCGGCCTGCCCTGTTTGTGCCTGAGGTGTCGTTTGAGCTGCTAGTGAAGAGACAGGTGAAGAGACTGGAGGAGCCCAGTCTGCGCTGTGTAGAGCTTGTCCACGAGGAGATGCAGAGGATCATCCAGCACTGCTCCAACTACAGCACACAGGTAGACTAGAGAGAGAGACACACACACACACACACACACACACACACACACACGCACACACACACAGCAACTACAGCACACAGGTAGGCTGTTCATACACACATTCACATCAACAACACTTGCTTTGACTCTTGACATCTGGCCACAGTCACTGATGAGTGTTGTATCTCTCTCTCTCTCCAGGAGCTGTTGAGGTTTCCAAAGCTCCATGATGCCATAGTAGAAGTGGTCACGTCCCTCCTCAGGAAACGGTTACCGGTCACCAATGAGATGGTGAGCATTTTTTTGGTTACACTTAACATTCATCAGTAATCCATTTTAAATGCTATCTGCTCCACTTGTAGTATGTTTGCTTATCTTTAGTGTACTAATTCCAACTCCTCCTCAGGTTCACAACCTGGTGGCCATAGAGTTGGCCTATATTAACACCAAGCACCCTGACTTTGCTGATGCCTGTGGCCTCATGAACAACAACATAGAGGTAAGAAACGTTCACAGCTTTAGAAATTGCTTTATTCTGTATTTTCTAACTTTCTTAAATAGTACATGAAGTGTTGTAATTAATTAGTAGTAATGGTTATCTCCTAGGAACAAAGACGCAACAGAATGAGAGAGCTTCCCTCTTCAGTTCCCAGGGAAAAGGTAACATAACACACTCAAGACTCTCCCTCTTTCAATGTGCTTTTGATTTGTTTAATTGCTACAAAAACGGTTTCTTTACTGCTCCAAGTGAAGATCTCGACCTTTTACAGCAGAGATATAAGCCATATGCTGTTTTTTCCACACCAGACTGTCGCAGCTCATTCAGTAAGGGCTTTTCTTCCGTTGCTATGCTTTTTAGGTTCCTATTTCGAACTCTGTCCACTCTTCCTTCTCTCTGCTCTCTCTTTCTCTCTGTCCCTCTCTCTCTAGTCCTTTAAGGGCCCAGGAGGTCAGTCTCTCTCCCCCACTGAGCTTCCTCCCCCCGAGGGAGAGGGACCCAAGGTGTGTCCCTGTGTGTCACTGACCCTCCCAATGCCTGCACGGCCCTGCCTGCATCCTACCTCAACCAGGATTGGGGTCAATTCCATTTCAGTTCAGGAAGTTAACTAAAATTCCTGTTTTCATTAGTTCCTTAAAATGTCAGTTCATTTCATGAATTGACTGAATTGCAATGGACTTTCCACTGACCCACCCCCACCCTCATACTCCCCTCTGCAACCCTGTAGACCAGGGGTGTCAAACTCATTTTAGCTCAGGGGCCACATGGAGGAAAATCTATTCCCAAGTGGGCCGGACCGGAAAAATCATGGTATATATAACTTAACAACAACTTCAGATTGTTTTCTTTGTTTTAATACGATCAACATACAACATAAAGCTGGAGCCTGAGGACAGTGTGTCCAAAATAGTACAAGCACAACATCACTATTAATCATAAAACACGTCAAGTTTATTTGAAAATTCTAAAGAAAAAGAACACACAAACACACAATGCCTCAGTGATTAACAGAACTGTTTCACAGATCACAGAACTATATCAGGGTGTCATTTCTCAGGCAGAAATGTAGATACAAATAATGAAATCCTGTTCCCCAAACAAGTGCAAGAACCACAGAGTCAAGAATAGGTTAAATATACAAATCAAATCAATTAAAAACAATAGCACATCAACATAAAAACATATAAACATAAATCTGAAAGCGTTGCTCAAACTCCCGTAACAGTCCCGTTATTTTATCTTTGAACCGCTTCATGTCTGCCACATGTTGGGTCGCGCACACATTTTTCAGACAGGGGAAGTGAGCTGCATCACCACCGGCAAGTTGCGTCTCCCACAATGACAGCTTCAACTTGAAAGAACGTATGCTGTCATAATACTGCCTGACAACTTTGTTGCGCCCTTGCAGCTGTTTGTTCAAGTTATTCAGGTGCTCTGTAACATCCACCATAAATGCAAGGTCCGGCATCCATTCTGCGGAATGAAATTCTAACACTGGTTTGCCCTTTTCTTCCATGAACTGTTCAATTTCTTCTCGTAAATCAAAGAAACGCCTCAGCACAGCACCTCGGCTTAACCATCTTACCTCAGTGTGGTATGGCAGGCCATAGATGTGGTCTTTCTCTCTGAGAAGGCTGTCAAACTGACGGTGATTCAGGCTTCTGGATCGGATGAAATTAACAGTTTGGATGACCACCTTCATGACGTTATCCATCTTTAATGACTTGCAACACAAAGCCTCCTGGTGCAAAATACAGTGAAAAGTCAAAAAATCACGTCCTCCATTTGCAGATTGCACTTTCTCTCTGAACTTTGTCACAACGCCTGCTTTTTTCCCGATCATTGAGGGCGCACCATTTGTAGCCAGGCTGACAGCGCGGGACCAGTCCACTCCGACCCTGTCCAGTGCGCCGACGAGTGCGGTAAAAATATCAGCTGCTGTCGTTGTATCTGTCATCGGCACCAACTCCACGAACTCCTCGGTGACGGTCAATGTGTCATCAACTCCGCGGATGAAAATGGCCAGTTGTGCAACATATGTAATGTCCGTGCTTTCATCAATTGCAACCGAAAACGCAATAAATGACTTTACTTTTTGCTTCAACTGGCTGTCCAAATCCACTGAAAGATCGGAAATCCTGTCTGCAACTGTGTTTCTTGTCAGGCTGATATTTGCAAAAGCCTGCCGCTTTTCAGGGCACACAATCTCCGCTGCCTTCATCATGCATGTTTTTACAAATTCACCCTCACTAAATGGTTTTGAAGCCACTGCGATTTCATTAGCAATGAGGTAGCTAGCTTTCACTGCAGCGTCACTGATGTCTCGGCTGTGAGTAAACACAGACTGCTGTTTCTTCAGACCCGCCAACAGTTCATTCACCTTCTCTCATCTCCGCTGTCCTTGAAAGTTGTCATATTTGTCGGCATGAAGACTCACATAGTGGCGACGAAGGTTATATTCTTTCAGCACTGCAACATGCTCTGAACACACCAAACATACAGCTTTCCCATTCAATTCCGTGAATAAATAGGATGACCATTTTTCTTGGAACACTCTGCACTCTGCGTCCACTTTTCTCTTTTTTGACAGAGACATATTGGGGCAATGAGGGTGCCAAAGCACATAATGTTAAAAGTAGAAGCCGTAATAAATATTGCGGGCAAAACAAAGTAGCTCATTGGCTGCACGTGCTTGACCTACTTGCTCTGCCCCGGTATAAACAGTTTGCTTGCTTAACACAATTGCTATTGCGCCATCCAGTGGACGCAATTGCAACAGCAGTTTATTTTATTGAAAAATTGCAGCGCATTTTTATACTTTACAATTTTTAAATCATCTCGTGGGCCGGATTAAACCCGTTTGTGGGCCTGATCCGGCCCGCGGGCCGGACGTTTGACACCCCTGCTGTAGACGATCCTACTTTGTGTAGGCTGCTATTCTGAATTCCCCTTATCTGTTCCCTTTCAATGTCCCACATATGTATTTTAATAAATTGATGAGCCCCCACCCGAACTAACTCCACCCCCTGAGGATGAACTTTGACTCTGTCATTACATTTCCCATCTAACACCTCTTGCTTGACCTGTGCTTCTGTACAGAGGAAGGGTCCTGAAGTGAAATCTTTGTACAATATGACCCTGCCACTGTCAGAATGGTATCTACAGACATGACTGAATAGTCTGTAGATGTTACATCATACAAGCCTAGGTGATGTAATAGCCATGACAGAAGCATGCTCCATCTTTGGGAATAAATTGTAACGAGCATATCGATTGTTGCTGTCAACAGTTCTCTCTTGTAAAATAGATTTTTAATCTCAGGGAGACAACTGTATGAATAAAGGATGAATCAATAAAAATGAATAAACCACTAGACATGATCTCTAAACATTCTGTCTGTGTCTACTGCCTGTGTTTCCAGACTGCAGGTGGGGGTCCCCAGGGGGACCAGGATGGAGGGACAGGGAACTGGAGGGGCATGCTGAAGGAGGGGATGGGTGGAGATAAGTCCATGCTCCAGACCTCCAACCCTGCCAGCCCTCAGAGGGGCCACGCTGTCAACCTGCTGGATGTGGTGAGTCATCTATGCTAGTCAGATACTCAGTCCCAATTCTATCACTAAACCGTTGATGTTTGCAGAACTGTGATCTTGGTTAACCCAGAACTAAAGTCTCACGTAGTTGGTCAGCTGCTCGATTTAAGTTCTGGGTCCAACACGTGTTAAGAGAAGGGATGAAGAGATGCTAGAATGAGGAGCGGAACCCTCTCTATTTGCAAATTATGGGCCGAATGTCTCCTCCCCGTCCGAAAATAGAAAGATGCCAAAACCTGCGAAATCATGATTTCACCAAATAACCAGTGACGAAAAACACGAACTACTGCTGCTCTTTATCCTATGCATTCCATTCCTTACCGACAGATTCTAGAATACCAGTTATGTTGACGTAGATCTGTCCACAAGAGATGAGCAGAACTGGGAAGTGTAAGCAATTCATATTGTGGAAACTTCCCACTACACTGCTTATGCCTATCCAGCGCCTTCAGATTTGCAAACATTGAAGGGTTAGGGCAAACATTGAATGGGACTAACTACTGCTCGAAGTCAAAACAAGTTCCATACCACCACATGTTAATGACTTCTGAGATGTAGCATGTCAGTGATTGGTCTGTTTGACTCTGTGTATCCCCCAGCCTGTTCCCGTTTCCAGGAAGCTGTCGTCCCGAGAGCAGAGGGACTGTGAGGTCATCGAGAGGCTCATCAAGTCCTACTTCCTCATCGTCAGGAAAAACATCCAGGACAGGTATGGCGCTTCTCTGCTTTACTTGCTGTTGTTAGACTCCCTCTCCTGTGGCTTCTGTAAGATTTCTCTCTGTGTTTCATTCTCCTTTCTATTTGGTTCCATCTCGTTTGCTTACAAATCATCTGTTGTCTCCTCCTCTTCACCTCTTTTTTTTCCCCCCATCCACCTTTTTCCATACGTCGCTCTCCCTTTGCACTCCCTCCCTGCAGTGTGCCCAAGGCAGTGATGCACTTCTTAGTGAACCATGTGAAAGACAGCCTGCAGAGTGAGCTGGTGGGCCAGCTGTATAAGGCAGGGCTGTTGGATGACCTGCTCACTGAGTCTGAAGACATGGCCCAGAGACGCAATGAGGCTGCAGACATGCTCAAGGTAGTGTGTGTGTGTGTGTGTGTGTGTGTGTGTGTGTGTGCGCACATACTATTTGTATCTATATGAATGTTTTGACCCCCTTTCCACCCTGTGTCCACAGGCCTTGCAGAAAGCCAGTCAGGTGATTGCTGAAATCAGAGAAACACACCTGTGGTGAGGGCCTCTACCTCCCACATGGACACTATGCCCTAAACCCTTCCCCCTAAGCCCTATTCTCTCAAACCTACCTGGACTGCAGAGACGGCCAACTTGAAAATGCACTGGTGTCAATTTGTGTTTTATAGCGTCTCTATTATCAGTGCACTTGCACACTCCCTGTCTTGGATTTAAAGCATTTGATTAGTGTAAGCATTGGCAGGAGGGAGCTTCCCCCATTGTTAATTCCATGACAGGGAGTGTAGAAGTGCACACTTCTGGAGAAGAGTGGAGAATCGGGAGGTACATTTTGAATATAGTTTTATGATGTACAGTTGAAGTCGGACGTTTACATACACCTTCGCCAAATACATTTCAACTCAGTTTTTTCACAATTCCTGACATTTAATCCTAGTAAAAATTCCCTGTCTTAGGTCAGTTAGGATCACCACTTTATTTTAAGAATGTGAAATGTCAGAATAATAGTAGAGATAATTATTTATTTCAGCTTTTCTTTCATCACATTCCCAGTGGGTCAGAAGTTTACATACACTCAATTAGTATTTGGTAGCATTGTCTTTAAATTGTTTAACTTGGGTCAAACGTTTCGGGTAGCCTTCCACAAGCTTCCCACAGTGGCCTCCTTGCTCGCACACCCTTTTTCAGTTCTGCCCACAGATATTCTATAGGATTGAGGTCAGGGCTTTGTGATGGCCACTCCAATACCTTCACTTTGTTGCCCTTAAGCCATTTTGCCACAACTTTGGAAGAATGCTTGGGGTCATTGTCCATTTGGAAGACCCATTTGCGACCAAGCTTGAACTTCCTGACTGATATCTTGAGATGTTGCTTCAATATATCCACATAATTTTCCTTCCTCATGATGCAATCTATTTTGTGAAGTGCACCAGTCCCTCCTGCAGAAAAGCACCCCCACAGCATGATGCTGCCACCCCCGTGCTTCACGGTTGGGATGGTGTTCTTCGGCTTGCAAGCATCCCCCTTTTTCCTCCAAACATAACGATGGTCATTATGGCCAAACAGTTCTATTTTTGTTTCATCAGACCAGAGGACATTTCTCCAAAAAGTATGATCTTTGTCCCCATGTGCAGTTGCAAACCGTAGTCTGGCTTTTTTATGGTGGTTTTGGAGCAGTGACTTCTTCCTTGCTGAGTGTCCTTTCAGGTTATGTAAATATAGGACTCGTTTTACTGTGGATAGAGATACTTTGTACCTGTTTCCTCCAGCATCTTCACAAGGTCCTTTGCTGTTGTTCTGGGATTGATTTGCACTTTTTGCACCAAGTACGTTCATCTCTAGGAGACAGAACGCGTCTCCTTCTTGAGCGGTATGACTGCTGCGTTGTCCCATGGTGTTTATACTTGCATACTATTGTTTGTACAAATGAATGTGGTACCTTCAGGTGTTTGGAAATTGCTCCCATGGATGAACCAGACTTGTGGAGGTCTTGGCTGATTTCTTTTGATTTTCCCATGATGTCAAGCAAAGAGGCACTGAGTTTGAAGGTAGGCCTTGAAATACATCCACAGGTACACCTCCAATTGACTCAAATTATGTCAATTAGCCTATCAGAAGCTTCTAAAGCCATGACATCATTTTCTGGAATTTTCCAAGCTGTTTAAAGGCACAGTCAACTTAGTGTATGTAAACTTCTGACCCACTGGAATTGTGATACAGTGAATTATAAGTGAAATAATCTGTTTGTAAACAATTGTTGGAAAAATTACTTGTCATGCACAAAGTAGATGTCCTAACCGACTTGCCAAAACTATAGTTTGTTATAGAAAAATGGTGGAGTGGTTGAAAAACTAGTTTTAATGACTCCAACCTAAGTGTATGTAAACTTCCGACTTCAACTGTATTATACAGACTTGAACTACACGAAGGGCAGTACATACGTCTTTGCCTGCACCACACACAAAACACACACACACAGGAGCGCTCCTGTCCAAATGATATCTTTCATATGTAAGTACAGTATATATCATGTAAGGTGTGAGGCATACCTAATGAAGAATGTTTGTCCCTAAATGTAGAGTTAAAATAAAGCTAGAAATGGCAAACCGTATATATGTTTACTGTAGTCTCTGGCTTGCTGGATGCTGCGTTTTAAATGCTGTCTGTTTGATCATGGTTACCTATCTAGTGTCTCTCTGTCAATGCTACTGTTGAAAATGTCATGCAGTTCTTGACACACTCAAACCAGTGTGCCTGGCACCTACCATACCCGGTTCAAAGGCACTTCAATCTTTTGTCTTCCCATACACCCTCTGAACGGCACACACACAATCCATGTCTCAGCTTAAAAATCCTTCTTTAACCTGTCACCTTCCCTTCATCCACACTAATTGAAGTGTATTTAACAAGTGACATCAATAAGGGATCATAGCTTTCATTTGGTCAGTCTTTGTAATGAACAGAGCAGGTGTTCCTAATGTTCTGTACACTGTGTGTGGTAAAACACCAGCTGGTAGAGACACATTACATTTCTTGTTAAAGAGATTCTCTGGTACTTTTGTATACTTTTTAGCCAGTAGTTCTGAAAGTAGCACTGAGCCAAAAGTGGTCCCCCAAAAATTGCGTACTACGTAGAGCTGGGCAGTATGGACAAAAAAGGTCAATGTTGTGATAAATTGCCTGAATTGATGCAATAACGATAAATAGAATGATATGTTTATAGCAATGTGCACAAGTTTTTTTTTTTTTTTTGTTATCCTTTAAACTTCTAGTTTGTTGCAGCCATCAATTGTCCCATTAACAATCACCCATATTGGTAAACTTATTTCATTTCAAACATGACATTTATCTAGTATAGGCTACTTAATTAACAATATCAGCAAAAGGCCTGCGATAAGTGATCGGTATGGTCGGAGTCGTTCATTTTTGCTTTATCGTCCCAGCTCTAGTACAATTTCACCACATCATTGCTCTCTCTCTCTCTCTCTCTGCTGTGTCCACTGAGCCGTTGGCACCCAACAACCTCATTGGATAACGCTGGGCAGGCCTCTTGCCAGCTAGAACTCTAATTGCTGCAGGGCTGGCCCACGTGGGGGGAAATGGTGTGGCACAGCTTTAAGAAAGTCGCTTTCAAACTAGGGATTTCGTGGCTAATTGAGGTAAGACATCTATGAGCAGAATGACTGTATGAACTACACATTGACACATCCAGCCCAAAGCGGGAGGTTTAAAAAAATACTTTCTTAGTCGCCGAAGTACCTGAGCATGTCTTTAAAACTAAATGTCAGTACAGAGCTAAATTGTGTGACAAAGCTTCAATTGCAGTGACTGCTTTATACAGTATATTCAAAAAGGGATGCCAGTGTTGAATGACTCATTTATTGACTTGATACTTTGATATACAGTGATAGTCAGACGCTATGCCAGACACAACAACACAGATGAACACACATCATTGGCCGATCCCTGGCGTCGTCGTGGTTTCTCCGACTGTAGTGATTGCTCCTTTACCTCACCCGGCCCATCTTCTTGCCACGACCTTTGGTGCTGAAAGGGGCAGGAAAGGGTTAAAAAGCTTCATCTCGAGCCAGCCAGGCTTAGCAGGTAGTGAACCAGCTGGTGCCGGTGGATGTCTTTCAATTGCAGCAGTTTTGTTCATTCTAATTATCTACTGTACTCGTCACTCAGAAGTGTGCATTCGTTCACTCTCCCTCATTCAGGTAAAATCATTGGATTGGTGCAATCATGGCCAGTCCACTCCTTTTGAATCTGTGAGGGGTAGTGTTTGAGTGCACACTTTGGGACCGTATCTGTGGTCCACTTACAACTTGTGTGAATGAGTTTAATGGTTTCAGTCAGATGTCAAGTTCATTCCATCAGTGCAATCAATCAGGTGAAATACAGGGTTTTATTTATTTAGGCTTGTTTTTTGTTTTTTATAATAATGGGGAATGGTTTTATTCTGCAATTTCAGACCACACCATGTTGTCAGGTTTTCTCCTTTTAAAATGAATAGGAGCTGTCATGCATAGTGCATAGATGCCACATACAGTGCAGACATACACATATGCGGCGTAAACAATGGATATGAATGGTGAAATTATCAGGGGTTGGCAAGCTATAGTTGTTCAGCTATATGCTTTGACAGACAAGTGTAGGGCGTGAGCTGCAACTAAAATTCTGTGGGTGGGCAGAGAGAATATAGAAGGGGGAGGCTTGGTTTGAAGCGCTGGGCATCTTGCTATGACGTGCATTATCTGAATTAGGCCCACAGAATTATACCTACGGAGGAGCGGCTTCCAAGAGTTGGCTTAACGTTGGACCAGAGCAAACGTTGGCTAGCTAACAAGCTTACGTGTGCAGAGCGACACCAGAATTAAAATAAAAACACGTCTTACCTTTTTGTAATTAATAAATGCAATGTGAAACGTGATAACTGTAGTATCTTTAACTAGCAATGAAAAAGTTAATCCATTCTTCTCATTTCTGAATCATGCATGTAACATCAGTAGCCTATGCTTCAGAGGGGGAGGGGCATGTAGCCTACACATGCACACACTGCAAATATTTTCAGCTGGCAGGCAGATGCTGGATTAAGTTTCTGAGTGACAGAGTAAGGGCTTTGTTGCAAAAAATGGTTTATCCCAGAACATAAAATAATGTTTTTAACCAGTTCCCATGCTTTTAAAATAACGGTTATGTTCCGGAACAGTATAAATTACTTTCCTTCCCAGTTCTGATTCTGTTCCTCTAAAAATTTCATTATTTTCAGTTCTGTTTCAGCCACGATTTCTGCGTTATTGTATAATTGGGGATTGATGGATAGTGAATGACCTGTTCAAATAAATGATTGTTCCACTGTTAAAGGACTGATGTTCCTCATTGTGACCATTTACTTGGCTCATCGCGCTCTAGCGACTCCTTGTGGTGGGCAGGGTGCCTGCAGGCTGACCTCGGTCATCAGGTGAACAGTGTTTCCTCCAACACATTGGTGCTTCTGGGTTAAATGGGCGGGTGTTAAGAAGTTCAGTTTGTTGGGTCATGTTTAAGAGGGCTCGTGATTCGACCTTTGCCTCCCGAGCCCGTTGGGGAGTTGCAGTGATGAGACAAGATTGAAAAAGGTGGTAAAATACAAAATATATATATACAGTACCAGTCAAAAGTTTGGACACACCTACTCATTCCATGGTTTTTCTTTATTTTTTCTATTTTTCTATGAAGCTGGTTGAGATAATGCCAAGAGTGTGCAAAGCTGTCATCAAGGCAAAGGGTGGCTACTTTGAAGAATCTCAAATATAAAATATATTTTGATTTGTTTAACACTTTTTTTGGTTACTACATGATTCCATGTGTGTTATTTCATAGTTTTGATGTCTTCACTATTATTCTACAATGTAGAAAATAGTAAAAATAAAGAAAAACCCTGGAATGAGTAGGTGTGTCCAAACTTTTGACTGGTACTGTATATATATATTTTTAAAGAAGTCCAAAATCCTGAACCTCAGTGTTACTTACCTCTGGTGGTCCTGGACCCGAGCGAGAAGCTGGTTAATCTGTAAGGACACATACTGTAAATCTGGCTATAAGCATTTAAACACAACTTTTATTTACTGTTTAAACCTGTACAAGTGGACTCCATCAGAGAGGTGGAGAGGAGAGGAACCCAGGAACCTGATGATACTATAGAAGAATTCACCTGTTGTTCACCTGTTCAGTGTACTGTAGGTCACCTCTGATGTACCCACTGCCCGGGCCCTCTCACATTGTGTAAATATTGACTGTCCAAATTTCTACTTCGATAATTTCTACATTGAGAAGCTTGGTATGGTCTGTCTTATTTTTCATGATCTGAAAATCAAAAGTGATCCTGGATCAGCACTCATAGTCTTGGATACTTTGTAAATATGGCCCAGAAGTATGCAGCATATAAAGAGGATGGGTGAAGTGATGGTGAATAACCCAGTTACCAGTATATCCCTGGGTTAGTTATGTCTAAGAAGGCTAAAAAGGAATGATGGAATTCCTGATTGACCATACTGCCATGGCTATATACTGAAAGAATAAGCTGTAAGAGACCTTTCCTTGTGGTGCAGAGGTTAAAAGACCTGGCTTGGGAACCAAACATTGCAGGTTTAAACCCCCATGTGTAGATTGTCAACATATAAAGTGTAAAAAATATTAAGTTTGCTTTCTTATGCTGTAAGGAGCTACACATTTGCATGCTGAGAATGTTGTGGTAATATTAGGTCAAACTTAAATATAACATTTTCTAAATGTTCTTGAAATGTTCTGAAGACCTCCAAGACAAGGTAATATGTATATTGCGTGAACATCAATGGAACATTATGTTAGACCTACATAAAACAAATATGCTAAGAACGTCATAAAAAACAGACTTACAGTGAGGGTAAAAAGTATTTGATCCCCTGCTGATTTTGTACGTTTGCCCACTGACAAAGACATGATCAGTCTATAATTTTAATGGTAGGTTTATTTGAACAGTGAGAGACAGAATGACAACAAAAAAATCCAGAAAAACACATGTCAAAAATGTTATAAATTGATTTGCATTTTAATGAGGGAAATAAGTATTTGACCCCTCTGCAAAACATGACTTAGTACTTGGTGGCAAAACCCTTGTTGGCAATCACAGAGGTCAGACGTTTCTTGTAGTTGGCCACCAGGTTTGCACACATCTCAGGAGGGATTTTGTCCCACTCCTCTTTGCAGATCTTCTCCAAGTCATTAAGGTTTCGAGGCTGACGTTTGGCAACTCGAACCTTCAGCTCCCTCCACAGATTTTCTATGGGATTAAGGTCTGGAGACTGGCTAGGCCACTCCAGGACCTTAATGTGATTCTTCTTGAGCCACTCCTTTGTTGCCTTGGCTGTATGTTTTGGGTCATTGTCATGCTGGAATACCCATCCACAACCCATTTTCAATGCCCTGGCTGAGGGAAGGAGGTTCTCACCCAAGATTTGACGGTACATGGCCCCGTCCATCATCCCTTTGATGCGGTGAAGTTGTCCTGTCACCTTAGCAGAAAAACACCCCCAAAGCATAATGTTTCCACCTCCATGTTTGATGGTGGGGATGGTGTTCTTGGGATCATAGGCAGCATTCCTCCTCCTCCAAACACGGCGAGTTGAGTTGATGCCAAAGAGCTCGATTTTGGTCTCATCTGACCAACACTTTCACCCAGTTCTCCTATGAATCATTCAGATGTTCATTGGCAAACTTCAGACGGACCTGTATATGTGCTTTCTTGAGCAGGGGGACCTTGTGGGCGCTGCAGGATTTCAGTCCTTCAAGGCGTAGTGTGTTACCAATTGTTTTCTTGGTGACTATGGTCCCAGCTGCCTTGAGATCATTGACAAGATCCTCCCATGTAGTTCTGGGCTGCTTCCTCACCGTTCTCATGATCATTGCAACTCCACAAGGTGAGATCTTGTATGGAGCCCCAGGCCTAGGGAGATTGACAGTTATTTTGTGTTTCTTCCATTTGCGAATAATCGCACCAACTGTTGTCACCTTCTCACCAAGCTGCTTGGCGATGGTCTTGTAGCCCATTCCAACCTTGTGTAGGTCTACAATCTTGTCCCTGACATCCTTGGAGAGCTCTTTGGTCTTGGCCATGGTGGAGAGTTTGGAATCTGATTGATTGATTGCTTCTGTGGACAGGTGTCTTTTATACAGGTAACAAACAGATTAGGAGCACTCCCTTTAAGAGTGTGCTCCTAATCTCAGCTCGTTACCTGTATAAAAGACACCTGGGAGCCAGAAATCTTTCTTATTGAGAGGGGGTCAAATACTTATTTCCCTCATTAAAATGCAAATCAATTTATAACATTTTTGACATGCCTTTTTCTGGATTTGTTTGTTGTTATTCTGTCTCTCACTGTTCAAATAAACCTACCATTAAAATTATAGACTGATCATTTCTTTGTCAGTGGGCAAACAACAAAAATCAGCAGGGGATCAAATACGTTTTTTCCCTCACTGTATTTGGAGATTGTGGAACATTGTGCAACATTGTGGGAATGTTCTGTGCAACCTTTGTGAATATCACAAGAATATTCTTGCAACATTAAGGGAATGTCCTGTGCAACCTAACTTAAACATTGTATGAATGTCATCACAACTGAGCATATTTTGTGTTTTGGAAACCTATCTCTTGTAATGTATCAATGTATCCCACAACCTAATTAAATGTTCTGGGAACCTTTAAAGAACTCAAAGGCTGTTCTGTCAACATTCTTGCAACATCAAACAAATGCTTGGTGCACCCTAATACAAACATTATCTGAATGTCAGCACAACTGGACAGTTTTAGTGTTTTGGGAACCTGTCTCTTGTCATATCCCCACAATGTTGCCACAACCTAAAGACGTGTTAGGAACTTTTAAAGAACATAAAAAAATGTGTTCTGGGAACGTTCCTGCAACATCAGGTTAATGTTTTTTGAAACATTGTATAATCATCCACACAACTGGACAGTTTTTGTGTTTTGGGAACATATATTTTGTGATGTCCCCACAATGTTCCCCCCAGACTGTTCCCAGAACACATTTTTTATGTTCTTTAAAAGTTCCTAACACATTTCTTTAAAGAACAGACCAAATGTGTTCTGGGAACGTTCTTGTAAAATTAGGTGAATGTTTTATACAAACATTGTATAATCATCAGCATGACTGGACAGTTTTTGTGTTATGAGAACATTTGCCGCAACATAACGAATGTTCTGGGAACTTTCACAGAACCAATTTTGGTTTGCTGGGAAAACGTTACTTGTACATTGTGTTATTACTTTACCTGGAAATCTAATGAGAACTTTGGGGAATGTTCTGTGGTGGTTGTTACAGATGTTGTGCAGAACATTTTAGTGAATGTTAGGAGAATATTCAAAGGATATTTAATTTAAAACAGATACAAAAAATGTTATCATCCTAATGTTAGATAAAACCCTAACTAGAACTTAATGGGAATCTTAGATAATGTTGTGGGAATGTTTCCGGTTTGCTGAGTTACGTCATACTTCTCTTTCTTTAGTTTTTTTGTGTGTGTGTGTGTGTTTTAGGTAAAGGTGACTTACATTGTACTTCTGTTTCTTAAGTTTCTCACAGAGGTCAAACTTCTCAGCCTCCAGCTCCATCATCCACTGCCACATCTCATTGGCCTTCTCCCTGTAGGGCAACAGCCAATCAGAACAGTTGCTTTCTTGCTCTAAAGAACCGTTGATGTCTCACTGAAGAATCTACATCACTCTAACCATTCAGATAGTCATGTTCAGTCAAAAATTGAGAAAACATCAGACATATACAGTATAATAACACTGTCAGCTTTTCTGAGGGCAGGCAAATTAAAATTATGAACAACGGCATCATACTTGAGTTTGTCCTCATTCAGATGGTCGATGCTGAGAGGTTTCCTGCGGTCAGCAAGAATCTTCTTCTTCTTCTCCCTCTAGTTCTGTTTTTTGGCTCCTTTACGGTTTTCACTCTGGGCATTGAAAGATCAGAAATACGATTACTCTCAAAGAAATTTAAAAAATTTTGAGAATTTTGGGGGAGGAAATGTTCATTGCCCCACATTACTTGGATACCTCTGTTACACCATTATCCATGTCTTTATGTTAAAGGAAAAATAGTATATTTGAGATGTTTTTGTACAATATCAAACTGACCTTCTGCTGGATGCTTCCATACTGGTGGGTCATGTTAGTGAGAGCCTTCTTCTTCTTAGCATCATCATCATGCTTCCTACGTTGCTCTTCTGCCTCCTTCCTCTCTTTCTCCTCCTGCAGAGCATTAGGGAAGAAAAACCGATCAAGAGATCTTTCAAAGAAACTACATCCACAATATATTTCCCCTCTAAAATGTTTGAAAGAAGAGAGAAGGAACTTACAGCAACCCTGGCCTGCCTTTCCGTCTCCTCCGCGCGAACCCTCTGCTGCTCTGCCCTCTCCGCACGGCGTTTCTCCTACACACACACACAGTAGTTACAGTGGGGAGAACAAGTATTTGATACACTGCCGATTTTGCAGGTTTTCCTACTTACAAAGCATGTAGATGTCTGTAATTTTTATCATAGGTACACTTCAACTGTGAGAGACGGAATCTAAAACAAAAATCCAGAAAATCACATTGTATGATTTTTAAGTAATTAATTTGCATTTTATTGCATGACATAAGTATTTGATCACCTACCAACCAGTAAGAATTCCGGCTCTCACAGACCTGTTAGTTTTTCTTTAAGAAGCCCTCCTGTTCTCCACTCATTACCTGTATTAACTGCACCTGTTTGAACTCGTTACCTGTATAAAAGACACATGTCCACACACTCAATCAAACAGACTCCAACCTCTCCACAATGGCCAAGACCAGAGAGCTGTGTAAGGACATCAGGGATAAAATTGTAGACCTGCACAAGGCTGGGATGGGCTACAGGACAATAGGCAAGCAGCTTGGTGAGAAGGCAACAACTGTTGGTGCAATTATTAGAAAATGGAAGAAGTTCAAGATGACGGTCAATCAACCTCAGTCTGGGGCTCCATGCAAGATCTCACCTTGTGGGGCATCAATGATCATGAGGAAGGTGAGGGTTCAGCCCAGAACTACACGGCAGGACCTGGTCAATGACCTGAAGAGAGCTGGGACCACAGTCTCAAAGAAAACCATTAGTAACACACTACGCCGTCATGGATTCAAATCCTGCAGCGCACGCAAGGTCCCCCTGCTCAAGCCAGCGCATGTCCAGGCCCGTCTGAAGTTTGCCAATGACCATCTGGATGATCCAGAGGAGGAATGGGAGAAGGTCATGTGGTCTGATGAGACAAAAATAGAGCTTTTTGGTCTAAACTCCACTCGCTGTGTTTGGAGGAAGAAGAAGGATGAGTACAACCCCAAGAACACCATCCCAACCGTGAAGCATGGAGGTGGAAACATCATTCTTTGGGGATGCTTTTCTGCAAAGGGGACAGGACGACTGCACCGTATTGAGGGGAGGATGGATGGGGCCATGTATCGCGAGATCTTGGCCAACAACCTCCTTCCCTCAGTAAAAGCATTGAATATGGGTTGTGGCTGGGTCTTTCAGCATGACAACGACCCGAAAACATACAGCCAGGGCAACTAAGGAGTGACTCCGTAAGAAGCATCTCAAGGTCCTGGAGTGGCCTAGCCAGTCTCCAGACCTGAACCCAATAGAAAGTCTTTGGAGGGAGCTGAAAGTCCGTACTGCCCAGCGACAGCCCCGAAACCTGAAGGAGCTGGAGAAGGTCTGTATGGAGGAGTGGGCCAAAATCCCTGCTGCAGTGTGTGCAAACCTGGTCAAGACCTACAGGAAATGTATGATCTCTGTAATTGCAAACAAAGGTTTCTGTACCAAATATTTAAGTTCTGCTTTTCTGATGTATCAAATACTTATGTCATGCAATAAAATGCAAATTAATTACTTAAAAATCATACAATGTGATTTTCTGGATTTTTGTTTTAGATTCCGTCTCTCACAGTTGAAGTGTACCTATGATAAAAATTACAGACCTCTACATGCTTTGTAAGTAGGAAAACCTGCAAAATCGGCAGTGTATCAAATACTTGTTCTCCCCACTGTAGGTGTTTTTTTGTTAGTTGCAATGTTTTTTGGGAACAGTGAATGCACTATATACATATAAATGTTATTATTATTTCATTTTATTTATATGGAAAGCACAGTCACATTCTAAAATGGCAGACTCACAATCCTGTTGACGAGGGAGATGAGCTCCTCTTCCTCCTTCTTCCTCTGGATGAAGTGAGACTCAATCAGAGACTGGAGCTCAGACAGGTCCTTCTCCTGACGTTTCCTGTGGATGTCCTGACCACCAGGAAGAAGAATCAGAATTCGTAATAAGAATTGCTTTGGTAAGACATTATATAATACACCATTTCACTAGATATACTTTATTCTTATAGGCTTCTGTCTTTTTATTGACTTTCGGTACCTCTCATTTGCTTACTATAACAGATGACAGCTGGAGGCAAGAGCAAATCTGTCACAAATGGTGAGTTTTCTTACCATGGTGTGTGTGTGTTGGATGGTTCAACTCACATCAAAATCCACTTTGTCACCATCAGCCATCTTTGGTGCAGAGAGGTTTTGCATGAACCTATGGAAATAAAAAATGTATGGAATATAATCTCAATTTGCACATTTCAGTAAACTTCAAATGTGATCCTTAAACACATATAATCTGTCATCTGTCAGGGGAAAAGAAAGAGAGGGTAACCCAGAAACGGAGACGTCCAGGTAGAAATGACTTCAACTGATGTGACCTGGAAAAACTTGCCACGAACAGAGTGAGATGGAGGACATTCTTCAACAGCCTATGCTCCTTATAGGAGCCAATGTCTTAAGAGTTTAATCAAGTAAGTCATACTATGTCAAATTGAAACTCATGATTTTGTGGTATATTAAAACTTACTTTGGTTTGGGCTTGGATCCATCTGTAATAAAAAAAAAATGTGACTCTCTTAGCCTGATGATATCATACAAAAGGTTATAAGTATTATTAGAATGATTTCATGTTAACTGGGATAGAATTGTCCTTTAGTTTTACTGGACAGGTTCATAAAAGTATAATTATGTAATAAAATATACATTATATAGAGTTTCATTTGCATATACACTAGCCCTCAAGAAGCCAAGGGGGCATACCCAACCCTAGAGTTCTTTGTTGAAGGTATGGACCACAGCTGGCTCCATGTGAACTGCAATCACAACCCTCTGTTTTAACATTTAGAAACGTTAATAATCCTCGCATGCTATACAGTTTTGGAAACCTCTGGAACATAACTTTCATATCAGCGAGAAAGAATCTTTCAGATACTAAAGATACACTTCCTGTACTCAGTTTAGCAAAGTTGCACATGGCTGTATTTTCTCACACCCTCCAGCCGAAGTAGGCTACAACACATCCTCTCACCTTACGCTTGCATTTCCATTGGACCATACTATTCTACATTTCCGCCTGGAATCAGGTGTTACTCAAAACACAGCCGGGTGCAACTAAGCTAAACTGTGTACAGTAAGTGTATCTTTTGTATTTTTAAAATAATTTATTGCGGATATGAAGGTTAAGTTCCAAATATTTCCAAAACCCTATCGCAAGCAAGGCGTATTAACGTTTAGAAAGAGCATTTGGGCAGCATCGGCGCATTTCCATCGGAAAATGAAACAGTACGTGTAATATGAAGGTTAAGTTCCAAATATTTCCAAAACCCTATCGCAAGCAAGGCGTATTCATGTTTAGAAAGAGTATTTGGGCAGAGTTGGGCAGCTGCAGCGCATTTCCCCCGGAAAATCGAACAGCTCGTGGAATGACCCAATACAATGCAATTTAAGTAATGATAAGGGCAACATACACTGAGTGTAGAAAACATTATAAACACCTTCCTAATATTGAGTTGCAGCATCCCACCCTCTGAATAGCACACATACACAATCCATGTCTCAATTGTCTCAAGCCTTAAAAATCCTTATTTAACTTCAAGTCTCCTCCCCTTCATCTACACTGATTGAAGTGGATTTAATAAGTGACATCAATGAGGGGGTCATAGCTTTTGCCTGGTCAGTCTATGTCATGGAAAAAGCATGTGTCCTTAATGTTTTCTACACTCAGTGTATACACCAGCAGTCAGTCTTTCCCAAAAACATTTTTGTACTATTCATTACAATAATTTGAGGAAAACCTCAATTTATCAACAGACTTTCAGACAAAGCCAAAATAAATCTTACCTTCTTCCTCCCTTCACAAAAGAAGTGGCATGAAAACAAAATACACATTTCATTAGTTTGATATAGCAGAAAAAAACGTTTTAATAATAAATAAATAAAACTTATGATACTCACTGCACTTCTTCTGTGTCTGACATTTTGTTTTATTTGAACCCTAAAATACAAAATACACCTTTACTTGAGTACCTAATATGGCTAGAAGAGTAACCAGGGATGTACTTTTCAGACCTGGCTAGTAGAAAATGTGCCAAACTAGGCTGCCGGCTAGTGACATTTTGTCTTTTCAAATATTGCGTGGCACAGATGTTGGTCTACTAGCCCGGCTGGCCAGTGCCTAAAATCCTTAAATTCCACCCCTGAGAGTAACCCATACCAGATTCAAACACATGGAATAACAAACTATTATAGTCTAGGCTACTATCATCACCTCCCATTATCACAGCACTCAATCTTCCTCTCGACATCTGATGTATTTGCTCTGGCTTGTTTACTTGCTCAGAGGACATTGTCAGTCTGATCAATTACTTAGCTCCTCTTAGAAGAGCACTATCTATATAACTAAATTGTATTTAATGAGGGCTTGATCCACACAACATTGCGCTCATCCATACTCCCTTCTATAGATACAAGGGGTCTACAGGTCATGATCTCTTCTGACCAGTAGAAAATGAAATAAACCTTATACTGAGTCTAAACTGGGATTGCAGCCAGGTACACTGTCTGCTTTAGGCACTAACAGGGCTGTCAGTTACGTACTTCAGGACAGGTGGGGAGTCCAAGACCCTTCACCACTCACAAAATTGTACCTCATGTCATGCCTATCCTATGGTGATGTCTAACTGCCTGCCAGAGCCCTGTCAGTGGCTTTAGAAACGTGGGTAATGCTTTATTTAAAAAGTACCTGCAGGACAACTTTATATGACGCATATAACATTCATAACCCATACATAAATCATTCACAAGCAGTACATAAGCATGCCATTATGAATTTGTTATGAACTCCTTATGTAGGTACCCTTCAAATAAAGTGTTACTGAAATGTATGAGGGCTATCCTCTCCCCCACTGCCTCCCCTCAATCCTAGAGACCAAATGGTCAAGCTAAGAACCATCAAAATGTATATCTACTCTAGCTGTGTCACATTGATTTATGATGAATTCCAAGGCAGTGTAAAGGTATGTCTGGATGTTAAGATATGTCAGTATGAAGTAATAGCCCTTACCTGAGCCCAAGGCAGAGAGGGAGAGACAGATACAGAGGCTGCAATTCCTTGGGGTTCAGAATCCAAACAGGTTTGTTTGGCCATCAAGGCTACGTAGTGTGGCCCTTCCTACTCATGTGATTGCATTGCCCTATGGTTGTTCAGATATTGTTAGAACCTTAGATAATGGCATTATATCTGAAGGCAGGCACACGCATACGTGCACGTACAGACACATAGGGTTTCATTGACCACATTCCTTTCCATGAAAAACGTTGAAGATCTCTTATAGCTTTTGTCCACCATTTGCCTGTTGAGAATGTCATTCATCCATTAAAACATTCACAAGCTATTGAAAAAAAACACAACATCACAAACAAAATTATGACACATTCTTAGCTTTTTACATTTTATTGCTGTAGCAGGGACAATGAAAACCTTGAAACAAAACCTTCGAACAAGGCAGTCCATTACAATAGACATTAGGACTTACTTTACTTACAATATTCTCCATTACCTCAAGTTTCAAACAAAAAGGACCATTCACAGAGATCGATACCACCTCATACTCAGAATGCCAAAGTGAAACATCAGTGACTAAAGTACTGTATTTTAATTAGAGGCCTAGTACAGTATTGTATTTTGGTATACGTAAATCAATAAAGTAAACTGTATATAGACAGATGGGTTTTTACTTTTCCCCTCAACTTGCAATACTCAGCTAATGTTACTCTGTGGGAATATTTCCCATGGTGTTTCAAAATGATGCAAAGAATCCTATAAAAATAAAATACAATGGATTATTAGAAAATGTGGAGACAAAAGAAAGAGGACATTCTTAAGAATCCCCAGAACGTTTTACATACTTGGTTTTGAAATGATAGATGCAGTAACGAGGTCAATAGAACTCGACCAAAACAATGGAAATGCCATGGAAACGCATGGGGGAATGATGCCATGGGGGAAAGATCCGGAATCTCCTTATTGCCCCCAGCAAAATCTCCCTACATTTAGGCTATTGTTTATATGTGAATTTCACACTATGTTGAGGTGAAAATCGGAGTATAATGCTTGTATTGACGTCAACCCCAATACATGTTAATGTCATCGTCATCAATCAACTGCATTACAGTTAAAACCGACTTTGATTACCACCACCGATTTCTCTATGCTAGCTATGCTACCAGCTTATACGAATGGGAGTTAGCATTTAGCAGTCACTTCTTCTAAACCTGAAAAGGGACAACTTCTAAATGTTATGCTGTGAAAACAGACAAATATATCCAAATCGGACTTTAGTAACCACATTGTGGGCCTGTTACAATACATATATCATGACAGATTTGACGAATATCCACTTTGTTAGATCAGATTTGTTGAATGTGCGCCAATCCGGCATCCTTCTTCTATCCCCCACAGACTGTTCCATTGAACTCTATACTGCATCTATGCCTCCTCATTGTTTAAAACTTTGGTCTAAAGCCTAGTCCCTTTGGTTTAGTTGTGAAAATCTTCATGGAACAATATGATATGACTCCTGTCTCTTTGGATGATTGTTCACTTTAGTCACACCTTTCCTGGATAGTCCTTAATTCCAATAGCCTTATTATACATTGAGACCTTTAAGCCCAACCAAGGAGTGATTAAGCCTCTGATAATCTTGCTACGGTCCTGGGCATTATTTCTCCAATGATTTTGAGGGGGTTAGTTTAGCAACCAGTGCTTATTGGTAAGTAAGTTGTAGTTCATGGTTTATGTCACCTGGAGAGCAGAGCCTTTCAATATACATGTATACGGTGTCCATATTAGGACAGCCTCCTTATGACTATGTGGCAGTCCGAATATGGACATCCGTAAACATTAAATATGTCAAGTATGTAGAGGCTCATCAGCCCAGATCCAGCTAAGCGGGAGAAAAACAACACCAAAGCATCAGTCAACGAAAAGTATATTTGGGAGGAAAAAACAGCTGTGATGCAATAATACTCATTTTGAAAATTTCCACAAATGGAATACAAAATGTGAACACATCTCAAAAAAGCTGTGATAGTGTATACTGCTAATTCATAACAAAAAACTACAATACCCCATACATACTGTATGACTGAATAATGTGAATATGCACTACGATGACACCATCACATCACCATTACACTGTGAGCAAAGATATTGAAGCGATGAGTGTGACAACATCTATCTATCTATCTATCCTGACATATAGGTAGTACGTGTATATGATCAGACTGCCAGCTAATGTCAACCTTATCCAACTGGAAGCTTTTCTTGAAAAATTAGAAGAAATAAAAATACAACAAAATTCAGTTCAGTATGGCTATTTGGACAGATACCTTATTCAATTCTTACTGTATCTCTTCAGAAGACGCATTATGTTTTGGATAACTTTTAAACAACTTTGAAAATATTTTTTAAGGTTTCTTATCTATTCTTTGAATTTCTTTTGTTTATCAAATAAATTAAGTTGAGCCCAAAAGGGTGGGGATACAATATTTTTCATTACACTAATATAAATTATTTCCTACAAAAACGTGGTTGATTAAATTTCATTTTCACAGCATAAATTCTATGAGGACGTACAAGGGATTGTGCAAAGGCTGGAGGGGTTGGAACCGGTTCAGGGAACAGAACCAAAAAACGGAAAATAATGACATTTTTCGATGAACAGAATCAGAACCGGGAATTAAAGTGATCTACAGTATACTGTTCTGGAACAGAACCATTATTTTAAAAGCATGGGAACTGGTTAATAACGTTATTTTTACGTTCTGGGGAATTTTTTCCAGTCCCACAAAAAAACACAACAAAGCACCTATGCAAAGCCCACAATCTGTCACTCAGAAACTTATTCCAGTGTCTGCCTGCCAGCTGAAAATCTTTGCCAGTGTTTGTGTGTGTAGGCTACCTGCCCCTCCCCCTCTGAAGCATAGGCTACTGTAGCCTACTGATGTTACAAGCGTGATTCAGAAATTAGGGAGAGCGATTTTTTACTAGAGAAGAATGGATTAACTTTTTCATTGCTAGTTAAGGATACTATAGTTATCACGATTCACATTGGATTTATTAAAAACAAAAAGTTAAGACGTGTTTTCATTTTAATACTGGTGCCGTGCACACACAAGCTTGTTAGCTAGCTAACTAGCTCTGGTCCAACGTTAAGCCAACTCTCTGAAGTTCAAAGACATTCAAAGTTCCTTCATAGAAGCCCCTCCTCCGTAGGTATAATTCTGTGGGTCTAATTCAGATAATGCATGTCATAACAAGATGCCCTTCAAGCCAAGCCTCCTCCTCTCCCTCTCTCGCTCTCTCCCCACCCGCAACATTTCAGTCGCATCTCGCCCTACACTTGTCTGTCCAATGCATGTAAACAACTATAGCTTGCCCGCTCTATAGCAAGCTGTTCTATCTGCACTGATTGGTGAAGTAATGTATAAAAATTGATTTCAGAGGTTTAAAAAGGAACAGAAAGGAACACGATAAACCATTACTTTTGGGGGAACCGGTTCAGAACTTTATTTTGCTGGTCGGAACAGTGGAACGGAACAAAAAAAATAATGGTTCTGTTCAGAACTAAAATATTGGAAAATAATTTCGGTTCCAACCCCTGCAAGGCTGTTATGGAGATATTTTTGGTTATGAATAGTAGAGTATTTTATTTCATCCGTTTGGGCTTCTTCCTCAGGGTTTTTACTTTGGATCATTAGCGTCCCACACCTGCTGAGAGAGATAAGGGGGAAAAGATAATTAGTCCTGAGGAAAAGTCACAAGTCGCAAAATGTCACAAACAAAAAGTCGCAAAAAGTGGCAAAACTATGCAAGGAAACAGAGAACAACGAGTACAGCCAAACTCTTAAAAATGTTAGAATCACTTTAAAATAATGTAGTAAAGTATAATTCTACTTCTAAGTGAGTCTCACTTACTCAATTCTAACTCCCAGAGAGAAATGTGTATCCACTCCTTCAGAATATGCCATAGCTTATCAAACTTTATTAGGTGTTAATAGAGACACTGATTGATTAACGAGTAATCTAATGTTAGAGCTGTTCATCAAAATGTTTGTGTGTGTGTGCGCATGCACGTACAAACGTGTGCGTGCGTGTGTTCAAGTTCAAGTACAGTGAAGTGTGTGTGTGTTTGCGTACAAGCGTGCATATGTGCGCACACGTGTGTTAGTGTATGTGTGTGTGTTTGTGTGTGTGTTTGTGTGTGTGTGTGTGTGTGTGTGTGTGCAGCTGTGTATATCAGACCCAGTAAGTGCTACCTCTGTTGACACATATTCTGAGGTCCCTGCAGTGACACTAGTTTGAGTGATTGATAGCTCTAACAATGTCATTTGCCCTTCAATTCATTCCCAGGGGGCTATTTCAGCTGAAGAACTGGGAAGGTTGCAAGGGTGGGGGACCTAGATAGGGTGACACCCAAGAGAGTGTGACAGCTTTTCCTTTCCCCCAGGGTCTGACTCAGACAGTGGGTGTTTGAGGTCCTGAGAGGGATATCCCTAGTTTGGGTTAGACCGGGCTGAGGGTGCTACTAATGATACAGTATATACTGTAATAGGGGAACTATAAAAAGTAGCACTGTAGTGAGAAAGATACTTGGGCAGAAACGCGTACTGCATAATCAACATAACAACTTGATACCCATAGGAATCATATCTCTTTGACCTGTCAGTATCTACTGTTGCTAGTCTCACTCAACACCCCCTGAGATTATACAGTAAGCAACTACAATTGACCCTGTAAGAGTAGAAGCCTTTACAACATAAATGTTGAGTGTAAAAGCCTGGTGAGTGAGGCTACTTTGCCGCTTAAACGGCTGGTAATCCTCCACAGCCCTACGGGCATAATGCAACAGTAATGTGACAATACAAGCAGCTGCACTGTGGCATGCGTGGCATCATGCCGACAGTCTGCACAGTATTCGTCAGGTCCAGGTGGCGTGGGGTGAACTACGCAGGACAGTGGAGGCATCCCAAATGGTACCCTATTACCTATGTAGTACACTACTTTTGATCAGGGCCTATAGGGCTCTGGTTAAAAGTAGTGCACTATATAAGGAATAGGATGCCATTTGGGACGCAAGACAGTGACAGCCATCTGAGGAGCATGACAGGTTCCTTGCACAGGGAAACAATGTCAGTGGGAACAGGCCCTTTAAATATAGAACAATAATGCAATGAGGTGATGGAACATGCACAATATGTCCGTCCAAAGGATTTGATTTACGGTGGCCAGCGAACTCGGGCACAGACTGGAGGACAGATGTAGGAGTTATGGACACTTGGCTCCATAGAGGGTTGGACATCAATTCAAGGTATGTGTGGGTGTGTCCTTCAGAAGGGAAAACCTTTCCTTAGCCTCACCTTCTTTTGTTCTGTGACGATGTCACTCACAACAGGTTCAGAAAAGCACACACGCACACATTCACATCATGGTGAGAAAACTCACTTACCATTTGTGACAGATTTGCTCTTGCCTCCAACTGTCACCTGCTAACAGAAAACAAATGAGGGAACAAAAAGGGGAAGAAGTTACTAAACCATCTCATCTTTACCAGTGAAATGACTGTATTTCAGGGTGTATCATGTCTTACCAAGGGGCAATCATTATTACTTATTCAAATGTCATATAGTTCAGGGTCATGCATTTTAATATGCTAAACTGACTCAAACAAGGAGTGTACTCAGGAGGTGAGAGTGAAGTGTAAAAACGATGTATCAGCAAACCTGAATTGAACATAACTGTGTTAGAGGAGTGGAATGAGGTGGGGGGCGGATACATTCTGTCCCAGTGCTTATGGTCTATGACTACATGTATGTCCTCACTGGCCCAGATGTATTTAGCCTTGGCACCAAACTGCTGAGCAATGCAATCCATACCTCCCTTCACATAACATATAGAGCATTTCCCAGAATAGGATTGCAAAGGCCACTATTTAAAATTTGACATGATGAAACATCAATGGTGAAAAGCCACATCAGAAGAGCTCCAACAGTTCCCAGAATGCTATTCATCTAGTCAATGCCACTATGGAAGCTAAGGATTGTCACATACTGTACATACAGAAATACTGCATGTGAGAATGGGATATGGTGATTGATGTGATAAGACATAGTGGGAATCCAAACCACATGAGTGAGGTAAGAGAATACATCTAATCAGATTCAGAGCTGTTCCTGTTTCTGTTCTGATTGGTTCCCAGCTAGCGCATTTGGTACTTTGGAAGTTGTGGGAACGTATGTTTTTGGTTTCACAGGTTGTGGGAATTAAGCCATACACTTCCTGACCGGTAAAACTGAACAGTTTTTTTAACGTTCTAAGAACAGAAGTGAACATTTTGCTTGTTGTGGGAACATTTAGTTTTAGGTTCTGAGAATGTTTTACTAACGCTCTGAGGACGGAAATTATAGGTTATTTGGAGGTTTTTTAATAACTTCCTTAAAACTTTCACAGAATGTTTCAATAAGACTTATAATAACGCTGCTAGCTTATTTTGATAGGACATATGGAAATTAATTTCCTTAGGCATTAATCATTATTTTTTATTGTGACACAGCATCAGTAGGATTCAAACCTATAATCTTCTGTTCTCTATTCATGGAATTAGTCCACTGCGACACCAGGATGAAGCTAGCATGCCATGTTTTTTTGCGCATACAAAATGGTTCATTTCAGTCTATTCAAACAGATCCCATGTCAAAGGAAACAAGCACTCATTAAGATCAGGTGTGGCCAATTAGTGGCCACGGCCAACACACCTGAACACTCTAAACAAGATAGAGGATAGAGAGTTTTGTTGATGCTGAGAACGGAACGTACACTACCAGTCAAAAGTTTGGACACACCTTTCATTCAAGGGTTTTTCTTTATTTTTACTATTTTTTACAATGTAGAATAATAGTGAAGACATCAAAACTATGAAATAACACATATGGAATCATGTAGTAACCAAAATAGCCACCCTTTGCCATGATGATAGCTTTGCACACTCTTGGCATTCTCTCAACCAGCTTCATGAGGTAGTCACCTGGAATGCATCTAAATTAACAGGTGTGCCTTCTTAAAAGTTAATTTGTGGAATTTCTTTCCGTCTTAATGCGTTTGAGCCAATCAGTTGTGTTGTGACAAGGTAGGGGGGGTATACAAATGATAGCCCTATTTGGTAAAAGACCAAGTCCATATTATGGCAAGAACAGCTCAAATAAGCAAAGAGAAACGACAGTCCATCATTATTTTAAGACATGAAGGTCAGTCAATACAGAACATTTCAAGAACTTTGAAAGTTTCTTCAAGTGCAGTCGCAAAAACCATCAAGCGCTATGATGAAACTGGCTCTCATGAGGACCGCCACAGGAATGGAAGACCCAGAGTTACCTCTGCTGCAGAGGATAAGTTCATTAGAGTTACCAGCCTCAGAAATTGCAGCCCAAATAAATGCTTCACAGAGTTCAAGTCACAGACACATCTCAACATCAACTGTTCAGAGGGGACTGTGTGAATCAGGCCTTCGTGGTCGAATTGCTGCAAAGAAACCACTACTAAAGGACACCAATAAGAAGAAGAGACCTGCTTGGGCCAAGAAACATGAGCAATGGACATTAGACCGGTGGAAATGTGTCCTTTGGTCTGTAGTCCAAATTGGAGATTTTTGGTTCCAACCGCCGTTTCTTTGTGAGACGTGGTGTGGGTGAACTGATGATCTCCGCATCTGTAGTTCCCAACGTAAAGCATGGAGGAGGAGGTGTTATGGTGTGGGGGTGCTTTGCTGGTGACACTGTCTGTGATTTAATTAATTAATTAATCAGCATGGCTACCACATCATTCTGCAGCGATACGCCATCCCATCTGGTTTGGGCTTGGTGGGACTATCATTTGTTTTTCAACAGGACAATGACCCAACAACCTCCAGGCTGTGTAAGGGCTATTTGACCAAAAAGGAAAGGAGAGTGATGGAGTGCTGCATCAGATGACCTGGCCTCCACAATCCCCCGACCTCAACCAATTGAGATGGTTTGGGATGAGTCGGATCGCAGAGTGAAGGGAAAGCAGCAAACAAGTGCTCAGCATATGTGGGAACTCCTTCAAGACTGTTGGAAAAGCATTCACCAGGTGAATCTGGTTGAGAGAATGGCAAGAGTGTGCAAAGCTATCATCAAGGCAAAGGGTGGCTACTTTGAAGAATCTAAAATCTAAAATATATTTTGATTTGTTTTACACTTTTTTGCTTACTACATGATTCCATATGTGTTATTTCATAGTTTATGTATTCACTATTATTCTACAATGTAGAAAATAGTAAAAAAAATAAAGAAAAACCCTTGAATGAGTAGGTGTGTCCAAACTTTTGACTGGTAATGTATGTTTTTAAATAACATTCTTAGAAAGTTCTCTTGTGGTTTTTATGGAAAGTTTTCTTCATGTTCTTCGTACAATCTGAGAACATGACTTTAAATAGAACCATGAGGAAACCTGTAGGAAACGTTATGCTAAAGTACTGAAATTCCCACAGAAGAACATTGTTTCTTAACATTCTTGGAACTATTTGAGAACATTCTCAATATCAAACCAGTTGGGGAACATTCCTAGAACATTACCAAAATTGAAATTAAATGAAACCATGTTTGAACTTTTAGGAAACGTTCTGTTAAAGTTTTTTGGTCAAGTTCCTTAAATGTGCTGACACTGTTCCAAAGCCAAGCATTTCATATTTGACACACTGTAGATACTCCAGTACTGTTGCCCAACCCCACATTTACTCCTAGACCCTAAACCCAACACTTGTGGAGATCTGAGAGAATGGACAGGTGTTCACAATATGTCAAAAATCCAGCTAGACAATAAGAGGGCAAGGTGGAGCGCTCACCATACTGTTTACACCCACCAAATCCTCTCAGTTCTCCATGTGCCTGGGGGTAGGGGCTAGGGGTTGTTTCGGGACAGGGCCATCATCTGATCTACTAGCTCACCTTGGCAGGGGAGGAGCCCTTTGTTTCCCATAGGCTGCGCTTGTTGCCCACATCAACAGGTTTCAGGTCCTGCAAGAGAACACAGAGTAGAGCGTGATGTGGGGAAGAAGCCATAGTGAGGCTATAGTGCCTTTAATCTGAACAAAAGCATGGATGGAACTACGGTGGATGCTAAGAAGTGCATCAATTGTTGGTGAATGATCATGACTAAATTACTAATCATTTATTGATTAACTAAAATGTAGATGTTTCCATCAATGGCACATTCAAGAGAGTACTTTTTAAAGATATCAGATGGCATATTGCTAACATGACAAACTGTTTGGATCGTACAGTACCTTTCCCACAGATAAAATCAAGCAGAAGACAGAACAGAAAAGTACAGAAGGAAGGAAAGTTCCAGAGGAAGACCAAGAGGAAGAAAACTGCAGAGCTAGTAAAGTAGAAGAGAGGAAAATAAAATTAGTTGTTAAACAACAGTAATTGATAGACATTTTCTCAAAAGAAATAACCTACCTCAAAAGCTAAATTCAAATCTAACCTAAACATTTCATATAACATACAGAAGAGTGCTATACAACTTCTCTCCATGAGAGGGAAACCTTGTAGCGTTCCTGTAAAAGTGACTTGGCTCTTACAAGTACTTGTGGCCAGAAGGAATGGTTCTAAAGATATCCCCTCATAAATTTCAGGTTCGAACAAAGTGGCTTGCCAATCAACAGTACGTCTCACATACTGTTCTGTCTGTCTCTAATAGAACCGGTAAGATTAGCCTGCTAGCACGCTATAAAGAATAGGACACACTGACTGTCTCAAATGGACTCACCCATCACACTGGATATGGCATTTATTTTAGATATACATCCAATTCAGGATACCTGTATCCTACACATTGGTTATACACATAAATGATCTAGTTTAAATCTCTAGTTTTGATCTAAATTATAAATGAAAACAAATCAACTGTTTTGAGAAAGCAAAAGTTTGTTATGAAACTGGTCGTCAACTGAAAACATTTGAGACTTGACCTTTTTGATTGTTCAAATACAGACAGTCACAATGTGACAAAGTTCTAAAACGTCCCCTCAAGACACTGTTTACACACTTCCATAAACCACATATGCCATGGTGTACTGTACACATACTTGAATGTACTCTTATCGTACTCTATCAGCTATAAGATAGGGTTAATTAAAATAACTATCCAGCCCAAGCAAGGTGAAATATTGCCTTTGAGAGTGGCTGGTGTGGAGAGGGCAGAACTAGGGAGGTATACTACATATACAAAAGTATGTGGACACCTCTTCAAATTAGTGGATTTGGCTATTTCAGCCACACCCGTTGCTGACAGGTGTATAAAATCAAGCACACCGCCATGCAATCTCCATAGACAAACATTGGCTGTAGAATGGCCTTATTGCAGAGCTCAGTGACTTTCAACGTGGCACCGACATAGGATGCCACCCTTCCAACAAGTAAGTTTGTCAAATTTCTGCCCTGCTAGAGCTGCCCCGGTCAACTGTAAGTGTTCTTATTGTGAAGTGGAAATGTCTAGGAGCAACAACGGCTCAGCCGCGAAGTGTTAAGCCACAAAAGCTCACAGAACGGGATCGCCGAGTGCTGAAGCACGTAGCTCGTAAAAATCCTCACTACCGAGTTCCAAACTGACTCTGGAAGCAACTTCAGCACAATAACTGTTCGTCGGGAGCTTCATGAAATGGGTTTCCATGGCCGGGCAGCCGCACTCAAGCCTAAGATCACCATGTGCAATGCCAAGCGTCGGCTGGAGTGGTGTAAAGCTCGCCACCTTTGGACTGTAGAGCAGTGGAAAAGCATTCTCTGGAGTGCATTCCTTCCCCCTCTGGATGACTTCATCATCTGGCAGTCCAACGGACAATTCTGGGTTTGGCGGATGCCAGGAGAACGCTACCTTCCCCAATGCATAGTGGCAACTGTAAAGTTTGTTGGAGGAGGAATAGTGGTCTGGGGCTGTTTTCAATGGTTCGGGCTAGGCCCCTTAGTTCCAGTGAAGGGAAATCTTAACGCTACAGCATACTATGACATTCTAGACGATTCTGTGCTTCCAACTTTGTGGCAACAGTTTGGGGAAGGCCCTTTCCTGTTTCAGCATGACAATGCCCCCGTGCACAAAGCTAGGTCCATACGGAAATGGTTTGTCGAAATCCGTGTGGAAGAACTTGACTGTCCTGCACAGAGCCCTGCCTTCAACCCCATCAAATACCTTTGGGATGAATTGGAACGCCGACTGTGAGCCAGGCTTCACTAATGCTCTTGTGGCTGAATGGAAGCAAATCCCCACAGCAATGTTCCAACATCTAGTGGAAAGCCTTCCTAGAAGAGTGGAGGCTGTTATAGCAGCAAAAAGGGGAGACCAACTCCATATTAATGCCCATGATTTTGGAATGAAATGTTCGACAAGCAGGTGTCCACATACTTTTGGTCAATTAGTGTATGTTGGCGTCCTGCCACCTGGCACACAACTATCATACTTCTGTTGTTTGTTTGGTCTTTTTCTGGCCTTAAAACAGGGCAAGGTGACTGGAGACAATAATTTGGTTAAACAGTACAAATACGACCTACGCAGATTGATCAAGATGGCAGAACACAAGTATAGGGACAAATTGGAGGAGGAATTCAGCAGGTCAGACAGTGTCAGGGGGTACTAACGATCACGGATTACAAAAAGAAAGCCAGCCACATCGCGGTCACCAACGCCACCCTACCGGACGAGCTAAACACATTTTTCTCATGATTCGAGCACAATGACACTGAGCTGCCGAGGAGAGCCCCTGATGACAACGTGGGCTACATACTCATGGTATCCAATGAGGACGTATGTAAGTCATTTAAACGTGTTAACCCTCGCAAGGCAGACGGCATCCCTAGTCATGCCCTCAGAGCATGTGCAGACCAGCTGGCTGTTGTGTTCTCTGACATTTTCAATCTCTCTGTAGCTCAGGCCGCTATACCCACCTGCTTCAAGATACCCACTATCATCCCAGTGTCCAAGAAAGGGAAGGTAACTGAACTGAATGACTACATATTTTTTTTACTACCCCCATCCTCATCAACGGGGCCGCCGTGGAGACGGTAAATAACTTCAAATTCCTTGGCGTACACATCTCAGAGAAGCTGAAATGGTAAAACCACACGGACACCGTGGTGAAGAAGGCCTGAGAGTGACTCTTCAACCTATAATAATAATATAATATGCCATTTAGCAGACGCTTTTATCCAAAGCGACTTACAGTCATGTGTGCATACATTTTTACGTATGGGTGGTCCCGGGGATCGAACCCACTACCCTGGCGTTACAAGCGCCATGCTCTACCAATTGAGCTACAGAGGACCACAGGATGCTGAAGAAATTGGCCTGTCCCCGAGGGCTCTCAGTGTTCTAAAGGTGAACCATCAAGAGCATACTGTCGGGCTGCATCACAGCCTGGTATGGCAACTCCAATTCCGCAGACCGCAAGGCGCTTCAGAGGGTGGTACGCGCTGCCAAACGCACCATTGGGTGCACACTGCCTGTCCTCCAGGACACCTACAACACCAGGTGTCGCAGGAAGGCCAAGAAGATCATCAGGGACCTCAGCCACCCGAGCCATGGCCTGTTCTCCCCGCTTCCATCACTCAGACGTGGGTGGCACAGGAGCATTATGGCGAAAACTGGAAGACTGGCCAATAGCTTCTACCCCCAGATCATCAGGCTGCTGAATAGCCACCACTAGTCAGCTACCTGCTCACCCCTCCCCCTGCTACTCCCCCTATGAACTTACCTTACCTGCTGTTCCCTCTATGGACATTTTCCCCCCACCCCCTCAACTGACTTTTACTCTGCTCCCACCCCAATGACATTCTTCACATTTGCAGTTGTTAATATGTATATTATTATTCCTATTTTTATTATTTTTTTCATTATTATATTTCACTTAGTCCTGCATGTTGGAGCTCGGAGCCTAAGATTTTTCACTGTACCCTGCAATCGCACCTGCAACCCTGTACATGTGACTATTAAACACTCAATCTGAATCTGAAGCTGACCAGCAGGCAACACGTTCGCAGTGCTCCCAGACTGTTTGTAAAAAGTGTGTCTCCACGTCTGACGTGATGTGTATACAAATCCTATTTCAGTGTGTTTACACTAGTGTAGGCCGCAGGTTGAAAGACAAATGGATGGTCGTATAGACGTGCACTCACCATGTCTACCATTTGGGGTCACTAGAGTACAGCTAGCCATATTTTCAAGTTAAAGAGCTCAATCGTGTGTTTGTCCTTACTTCAGCCTTCTCAGCTGCGGCTGCAGCTGCCTTGCCAGTGTCTGCTGGGCTCTTGCCCCAGCCTTTAGTCAGTCCAGCCACACCCACTTTAATATCAGCAGCATCCTGGGAAGAAGATGGAGAAGTAGGCTGTCATGCATGACATACAGTCAGCGATCGCTCTCTCGCTCTCTCCTCCTGTCTCCCAATCTCCTCTTACATTTGTACATTTTAGTCATTTAGCAGACGCTCTCATCCAGAGCGCCTTACAGGAGCGATTAGGGTTAAGTGCTCAAGGCTACATCAACATATTTTTCACCTAGTCGGCGACTCAAACCAGCGACCTTTCAGGTGCTGGCCCAACTCTCTTCATCGCTAGGCTACCTGCCGCACTTATTTTCCTTCCCCCTCCCTCCCCTCTCTCTCTCCCACACGCTCTCTCTCCTTCATCCGTTTCTCCCCATCCCTCTCTCTTCTCCCTTACCTTATTCGTAGGCTTGGGGCTCTCAGTGGCCCCCTTAACGTTCCCTTTCTCCCACATGCTCTTGATGTTGCGGATACTTGGTGTCTCTGGCAGGTCTGAGACTGGAGACTTGGGAGACCTCACATCCCGGTTGGTCTGTGAACAGGGAAAGGAGACATTTCATAAATGTTTACATTTTGGTAATTTAGCAGAGCGACATACAGTCAGACATCAAGATAATGCCACTTTTAAATAAATAAAAAAGAGAAACTGGTAGGCAAGTGATTGTGTTTGTATTCTGTTGATTTAGTTATTTAACCCTTATTTAACCAGAAAAGTCAGTTGAGAACCAATTCTCATTTACAATGATGACAATGATGATTACAATCACCTAATTTCTGCCTCCTAGCTTTCATTGGATTTTTAGTGCTGTGTCCACATACTCATTCTGTCATCTTATGACATGATGAGTAGGCCTTAAGATGCCCTGGAACACTATGTATACAGTATGTGTGTAGCGTTTAGGATGTGTCTGTGCCTCACCTGAACTGCAGCAGTGTATTGTTCCAGTCTGTTGCCTATCTTGGAGACAATAGGAGCATGTGATGTCTTACAGCTGTAGGAGCAAGAACACACATACCATGAGTACAATGCAGTACATTCTAGACTGAAGGTTTACATGAATACCATGGTAGAAGTAAAAGGCAAGGAATGCTCACCCTTTCTGGGATCTCTGGTTCAAGAATTCTGCCCTCTCCCCAATCTAAAAACACAGAGAATAGACTAACGTGATTACACTTGTAAACACATTATTGACATGCAACACACAGCTGATGCAAATGTCTGCTGCTCTCTCTCTCTCTCTCTCTCTCTCTCTCTCTCTCTCTCTCTCTCTCTCTCTCTCTCTCTCTCTCTCTCTCTCTCTCTCTCTCTCTCTCTCTCTCTCTCCTCCTCTGTCCCTCTCTCTCCATTTATCTTTCTCCCTTTTGACTAACATTCTTACCATTCTTGGGCAGTTAGTTCTGTGTGATCTGAACAAAGTGAACCCAGTGGTGGTGACTCAGTGTTGTGTTGAGGAGTCAGTCTGTCACAGAGCCAGTATAAGCAGGGTCCTGTCAGCCCCTGAGCCACGGGCTGGGAACCCAGAACTGCTGTTTATGATAAATGGCAAGTCCAAAACGAGTGTGCACACAAACGCACGCACGCATGCATGCACCCACACGCGTACGCACGCCATACACTCAGGCAGGCACACATGTACACAAACACACAAAAGCATTCACACACACACGCATACACTCCTCATACTGCTGGCTGTGGAAGCTCCTAAAATACTTGTCACAATAAATTCCTCCCAGTCCTAGACCTCCTCTAAACACCCATATTTGAGCACATTTGTGATACCAGCAGCAACATCACTAATTTTGTACTTGTCATAGAGATTTTATGTTTTTATGAAAAGCTGTCTATCAATCAGCGGAAATAGAAACCGACTTAACAATGAAAGAGACAGCAGTATGTATCAAACTTGGAAACACATAACAGTTGTCATGTTAGTATGAGAATAATTCAATGGATCTTTACTCAAGGCATTGTATTGCTTTGTGGGAACACATTGCACATCAATATGAACACAATGTCTACAGACGATCGTTTTTCTCTCTCAGTTACTGTAATGATATCATCACCGGGTGAGCTGTAGTTGTAGCCTATAGGGCCTCACCTTGCCCTTGGGCGTGACACCCAGTGTGAAGGGTTTCTTGTCTCCGTCGCCCGATTCCTCTATCATCTGTTTCTTCTTCTCTGCAGCCTCTTTTCTTCTTTGCTCTATCTCTTCCTTCAACCTCTTCCTCTCCTCCTGTTAGAACCAGAGCAAAGGCCCATTTAACCATTGTTATCTTTAGGGTTAGGGTTCAACCGGGATGTGGACATGAAGCTAGGGTTAGGGTTGTTCACTAGGCACGAAATGGAAGAGAACGGTCTGAAATGGGGTGAAAACACATTTGTTTGATCATTCAGCTGCTCATAGAGCATTTAGCTTCTGTTTCAACTGGATCCCTCTCTGTCCGTCCCCAGCCCCCACCTGTCTGTCTGTCCGTCTGTCCCCAGTCTCCACCTGTCTGTCAAATGTTTTTTTGCCACATGCTTCGTAAACAACAGGTGTAGACTAACAGTGAAATGCTTACTTATGGAACCTTCCCAACAATGCAAAGAGAAAAATAGAAAAATAATATAAAAAAATTATAACACAAGGAATAAATACACAATGATTTACTATAACTTATACACAGGGTACCAGTACTGAGTCGATGTGCAGGGGTACGAGGTAATTGAGGTAGATATGTACATATAGGTAGGGATAAAGTGACTAGGCAACAGGATAGATAATAAACAATAGCAGCAGCGTATGTGATGAGTCAAAAGAGTAAGTGCAATAAGGGTCAATGCAGATAGTCCGGGTAGCTATTTGGTTAACTATTTAGCAGTCTTATGGCTTGGTGGTAGAAGCTGTTCAGGGTCCTGTTGGTTCCTGTTGGTGCATCGGTACCGCTTGCCCCAGTGATGTACTCTGCCGTTCGCACTACCCTCTGTAGCGACTTGCGGTCATATGCCAAGCAGTTGCCTTTTTGAGGATCTGAGGGCCCATCCCAAATCTTTTCAACCTCCTGAGTGGGAAGAGTCGTTGTCGTGCCTTCTTCTTGAATGTGTTGGTGTGTGTTGACAATGTTAATTCCTTAGTTATGTGGAACACTGAGGAACTTGAAGCTCTCGACGCCCTCCACTACAGCCCCGTCGATGTGGATGGGGGCTTGCTCAGCCCTCCTTTTCCTGTAGTCCACAATCAGCTCCTTTGTCTTGCTGACGTTGAGGGAGAGGTTGTTGTCCTGGCACCACACTGCCAGGTCACTGACCTCCTCCCTATAGGCTGTCTCATGGTCGTAGGTGATCAGGCCTACCACCGTTGTGTTCTCAGCTAACTTAATGATGGTGTTGGAGTCGTGCACGACCACGCAGTCGTGGATGAACAGGGAGTACAGGAGGGGACTAAGCACGCACCCCTGAGGGGCCCCCATGTTGAGGGTCAGCGTGGCGGATGTGTTGTTACCTACCCTCACCACCTCGTAGTCGTAGCAGGATTTCTTATAAGCGTCCGGGTTAGTGTCCCGCTCCTTGAAAGTGGCAGCTCTAGCCTTTAGCTCAGTGCAGATGTTGCCTGTAATCCATGGCTTTTGGTTGGGATGTGTACGTACGGTGACTGATGTGGTAAACTCCTTAATGTTATCGGATGAATCCAAGATCATATTCCAGTCTGTGCTAGCGAAACAGTCCTGTAGCTTAGCATTCGCTTCATCGGACCACTTCCGTATTGAGCACGTCACTAGTACTTCCTGTTTGAGTTTTTGCTTGTAAGCAGGAATCAGGAGGAGAGAGTTATAGCCAGATTTGCAAAGGGGAGGGCGAGAGAGAACCTCTAATACTTTTCTGTGTGTGGAGTAAAGGTGATCTATAATTTTTTCGACTCTACTTGCACAGGTGACATGCTGGTAAAAATGAGGTAAAAGGGATTTCAGTTTCCCTGCATTAAAATCACCGGCCACAAGAAGCGCTGCCTCTGGGTGAGCATTTTCTTGTTTGCTTACGGCCCTATACAGCTCGTTGAGTGCGGTCTTAGTGCTAGCATCGGTTTGTGGTGGTAAATAGACAGCTACGAAAAATATAGATGAAAACTCTCTTAGTAAACAGTATGGTCTGATTGCACACCAGCTGTTGTTAACAAAGAGACCTCCCCCCATCTTACTCGAGGCTGCTGACCGGTCTTGACGATGCATGGAAAAGCCAGCGAGATGTATATTATCCATGTCCTTGTTCAGCCACGTCTCCGAGAATCATAGAATATTACAGTTCTCCAGGTCCCGTTGATAGGATAGTCTCAAATGGAGCTTGTCCAGTTTGTTCTCTAGTGACTGTACGTTCCCAAACAGAATGGAGGGTAGAGGCAGTTTATTTGGTCGGCAACGTAGTCTCGTCAGGATGCCGGCTCATCTGCCTCTTTTGCTCCGTCGCTTCCTCTTTCGAGTCCCGGGGAATAGGGCCTGATCCAGTAAACAGAACGTCCAGAGCTGCAGACTAGTTGAAGTAGAAATTGTCATCCAAATCGAGGTTAGTGATAGCTGTTTTGATCTCCAGAAGCTGTTTTCGGAGACATTATGTACAAAAGAAGTTAAGATCAGCATTAAAAAAAAACACACAAAATAGCAGAATTGGTCAGGAGCCCGTAAAACGGCGGCTATCCACTGCAGCGCCATTCCACGTCTGTCTGTTTGTCCGTCCCCAGTTCCCACCTGTCTGTGTCCATCCTTAGTCCCCACCCACCCGTCTGTTTGTCTGTCTGTACGTCCCCAGTCCCCACCCACCTGCTCCTTGGCCTTCTTCTCTGCCAGCTCTGTCTTCCTCTGCTTCTCCTCCTCCTCAATGATCTTCTTCCTCCCCTCCCTCTTCTTCTTCAGCTCCTCCAGCTCGGCCTCAGACTCCTGCTGTTTCTGCTTCATCTTCTCCAACTCCTCGCTGTCCGCCTCGTCACGACGCCGCTTCAGCTCCTCCAGCTTACGCTCAGCCTCCAGACGCTCCTGGTCCTCGGCCTCGGTGGAGCGCGCCACACCTCCGTTCTGCTGCTTGGAGGGGGTGGACTCCTTCGGTTCAATAGAGAGCACAGATAGATAGACCAATGGATGAGTGATAGACCCATAGAATTGGAATGAGATTACCCCATCCAACATTCTTAATCTATCTCTATGGATTCACCAATGGAAACCAATTGGTGAGTGATGGACCAGTGGATGAGCAACAAATGGATGAGTTATACACCAATAAAAAGCAGAGATAGATAGAACAATTGATGAATGCAACAAACAGGTATAACAAGGAAACTGTTTGTCGGATGGATAGAACATGACTCACCTCGTCTTTCTTCACTGATCTTAACTTCGGTTTCTCCACCTTCTCAGCCTCCTGCATCAACGTCCAACAATGATGAAACAAAAACAAAGTTATAAAATATAAACAAAATTGTGTCCAACATTATATGGATATTTTTACAATCTATGATTTTGATAGAAAGTGTGATATATATGTGATGGTCAAAATGACTCTACATTTAATCTTGATCTTACCCGCTTTTTTGACTTTTCCTCCTTGGTGGGCAGGAACAAAGGGAAATATAACAAGAGAAGTCAGATAACTGTGGAATATATCTACATATGCAAACTGTAGAAGCCAGGCAAATTGGATGCCATTGCCATACAATGCTGTTCCACTCCAGCCTGCAAGGTGAGAGCAATGCAGAGGTACGTTGATGCTGACCACACACACACACACACACACACACACACACACACACACACACACACACTGTGACAACACTGTGACATAACTAGCCTGGTTCCTGATCTGTTTGTGCCAACTTCTATGGCTCAGTTTGGCATGACAATGACCATAGGAATTGGCAGGACAGAACACACAGATCTGGGACCAGACTAGGACACAACTGCCCAAGTGATCAATGATGCAAAGCAACACATCGTGACCACTCTGTGATCTGTGACCACACCTTAAAGCATGGGAGAATGTGGATATGGAAGATGCAATCATCTGCCCAAACAGTGAAGACGTAAAACGCAGCAAAACTTGGATAACCCAAATATATCCTCTACATGTGTAATTAAAAATATCTTGATTAGAAATGTATTATTGAGCATACTGTATTATGATACAGTAGATACATGTCCTGTAAGAAACTAATGAGGAACATTTGAGTTATCCAGGATTTGAATGGAGGCAATCATCCTAAAAGTCACACTGATACCTCCGCTTTCTTTTTTTCCTCTGCTTGCTTAGATTTTTTAGCTTTTTCTTCAGCTTCTTTCTTGAGTTTTGCAGCTTTTTCTTCTTCTTCTTTCTTGAGTTTTGCAGCTTTTTCTTCTTCTTCTTTCTTGAGTTTTGCAGCTTTTTCTTCTTCGTTCTTGAGTTTTGCAGCTTTTTCTTTTTCTTCAGCCTCTTTCTTGAGTTTTGCAGCTTTTTCTTCAGCCTCTTTCTTCAGTTCTACAGCCTTTTCTTTTTCTTCAGCTTCTTTCTTGAGTGTTGCAGCCTTTTCTTCTTCTTTCTTCAATTTTGCAGCTTTTTCTTCTTCTTCTTTCTTGAGTTGTGCAGCTTTTTCTTCTTCTTCTTTCTTGAGTTGTGCAGCTTTCTCTTCAGCTTCTTTCCTTTCTTTTTCAGCCTTTTCCTCAGCCTCTTTCTTGAGTTTTGCTGCAGCCTCTTTTTCTTCCATCTCCTTTTTCTGTTTTTCTTCCTCTTCTTTCTTAGATATCTCTTCAACAGCTTTCTCCTCTACTACCATCTTGGGCATTATGGATATTTCAAACCCGCACTCTTGTAGTGGTGCAGCGGGTACAACAAATTCAATAAATGTGTCTGGTACTATTTGCGTTTCTTCAACCTCTTCCTATGAGATAAAGTACATTTTGTGTCAATATAACTTCCTGTAAATACAATACCTCCCATCCAACAGTTATGCCCTTTAATGTAGGAAGTAGGAAGGAACTAGGAAGTCATACTCTACCTCTTTCTTCTCTTCCTCCACCTCCTCAGCTTTCTCAGGCTCTGTGACGGGTTCAGGCTCTTCCTCCTTTGGCGTCGCCTCCTCTTCTTTCACCTCCTTCTCCTCCTCTCTACTCCAGGAGTTAGTGGTTACTTCCTCCTGGACTGGTTTCTCCTCCTTCTCCTCCTCTGTGCCTTGGTGGCGCCTGCTAGAGGAGGTCTCCTCCTGGCTGTTCTCATTGCCGTCGGTGATGGTAGGGTCGAACTCCTTCTGTCTATCCAGTGCCTCTTTCAACCTCTTCTGTCTGCGTTCCTCCCGCTTGGCCAGGCGGTCCAGGAGTGCCACGTCATCCCCACCACCTGATGAGGAGCTCACCTCTGCACCGGTGGAGGAGGACTCTGTCTCTGTCACACTGTGGAGTGAAGGGAAAACAGAATGAATTAGTTATGGACAATCTATGGCAGGGTTCTTCAATTCCGGTCCTGGAGGGCCGAAACACTTCTGTTTTTTATTTCTACCTGGTAGTTAATTGCACTCACCTGGTGTCCCAGGTCTGAATTAGCCCCTGATTAGAAGGAGAGGATGAAAAACAGAGGTGTTTCGGCCCTCCAGGACCGGAATTGAAGAACCCTGATCTATGGTTTAACACTGGAACTTATATGATTGTTACCAGATGGGATCTTTCTATAGATCAAGGTCTTCTTCATTAGGGAGAAAACCTTTTGAAATAGAGTGAATGGGGTGGTTCTACCTACATTCGTAGAATACATTTTTTTTTTAGAGGATTTTGTTCATGGTCTGGGTGTCCTGTGTTCTGTACCTGTGAGTGTTGTTGACCTCTGTTGTCATGGTGCTGCTGCTAGACTCCTCCATCTCTGCCTTTTTCAATCGTTCCTCACGAGCCTTTCTCCTCCGCTCGCGAGCCACCTCCTCATCATCATCAGTTGTGCTGAAGCCCCTGAAACAAGCCAAGACATACACATAAATGAATGAGAGATGTTGGCCTTTTGCGTACAATTATTACTGCCATACAAATTACAGATATTATCCCAATGCCTATTGCATATCATTATGATTCCCATACGTACCAAACCATCACTACAATTATTTTCACCTACAGTGGTTTACATAACAATGGTAAGAAATCTAGTTTTTGTTTCATCAAGCGTTTTACAGAAGGACGTTTATTGTATGTTGGACTGAGAAGAGCCTATAGGACTGAGAACTTCCTTTAAAGGCATTTCTGTACAGCATGTATGTAGTATGTCTATAATAATGTGTGCAGTGGTGTAAAGTACTTAAGTAAAAATACTTTAAAGTACTACTTAAGTAGTTTTATTCGGTATCTGTACTTTACTATTTATATTTTTGACAACTTTGACTTTTACTCCATACATTTTCCCTGACAGCCAAATGTACTCGTTACATTTCGAATGCTTAGCAGGACAGGAAAATGGTCCAATTCACGCACTTCTCAAGACAACATCCCTGGTCATCCCTACTGCCTCTGATCTGACAGACTCACTAAACACAAATGCTTCGCTTGTAAATGATGTCTGAGTGTTGGAGCATGCCCCTGGTGCCGTCTGGTTTGCTTAATATAAGGAATGTGAAGTGATTTATACTTTTACTTTTGATACTTAAGTATATTTTAGCAATTACATTTACTTTTGATACTTAAGTATATTTAAAACCAAATATTTTTAGACTTTTACTCAAGTAGTATTTTACTGGGTGACTTTCACTTTTACTTGAGTCATTTTCTATTAAGGTATCTTTACTTTCATGTATGACAATTGGGTACCTTTTCCACCACTGTATGTGTGTTCCCTATATAATTCCATCTCCGTTCTTTATACGACACTAAATCTGCCATGTAGTCATGGCCTAATCCTTACGTCTGAAAGTGTGATCATATAGAGTACATAAAGTCTTTAAGACACCTTATATACAGCCACAACTTTTAAAAGAGCTGTCTAAAACTGATTCATTTGCAGATGGGTTTACACTACAGACCCTATGCAAGCATTCATAAAGAACATGCTAAATAGAGTTACACACAGGTTCAGACTAACACTAAAACCCTAAAGTTCAGACTGCTCATCCATCTAACCAACAGTCTCCTACTACTTTGAGAGAGATGATCCAGCCATAGACCTTAAACTGCACAATAGTGCAGACGGTCTCACAAACTATGAAAAGATTCATTATCATTCTTGTCAGTCAAACACTTGACCCTGTACTGATCCACCATCCAGGGCCCTGATCCTATTTCCTCCCACACACACACCACATATTGTCTCCCAGTGATCTGACCTCCAGACCAATTACAGATCCGGCGGATGGATGGATACATGCTGTCATGGTGGAGGAAGGTCAGACTGATAACACACACAGGTGTATATGTGTTGTGAATCAAAACGTCACTGAGATGAAAGAGACAGAGAGCAAAAATAGAGGGAGTACAATGCTCATCAACTGGAAACAAAGAGAAACCTAAATCCATATCACCATAAATTGACTGAATTATCACGACAACGATAAATTGAATGATACATTTATAACATTAATGTGCACAACAGTTCTTTTTTCATATCACCCTTAAAACTACTACTACTTTGAATGCTGTAGCTAGTTTTTTTCCCTCATCAATCTACACACAATACCCCATAATGACAAAGTAAAAACAGGTTTATAGAACATTTTAGAATTTCAGAGTTTTTTTTAAACAGAAATATCACATTTACATAAGTATTCAGACCCTTTACTCAGTGGCTTCCGTCTGGCCACTCTACCATAAAGGCCTGATTGGTGGAGTTCTGCAGAGATGGTTGTCCTTCTGGAAGGTTCTTCCATCTCCACAGAATAACTCTGGAGCTCTGTCAGAGTGAACATCGGGTTCTTGGTCACCTCCCTGACCAAGGCCCATCTCCACCGATTGCTCAGTTTGGCTGGGCGGCCAGCTCTAGGAAGAGTCTTGGTGGTTCCAAGCTTCTTCCATTGAAGAATGATGGAGGCCAGTGTGTTCTTGGGGACCTTCAATGCTGCAAAAATGTTTTGGTACCCTTCCCCATATCTGTGCCTCGACACAATCCTGTCTCGGAGCTCTATGGACAATTCCTTCGACCTCATGGCTTGGTTTTTGCTCTGACATGCACTGTCAACTGTGGGACTTTATATAGACAGGTGTGTGCCTTTCCAAATAATGTCCAATCAATTGAATTTACCACAAGTGGATGATCAATGGAAACAGATGCCCCTGAGCTCAATTTCGAGTCTCATAGCAAAGGGTCTGAATACTTATGTAAATAAGGTATTTCTGTTTTTTTATTTTTAATACATTTGCAAAAAAATTCTACAAACCTGCTTTCGCTTTGTCATTATGGGGTATTGTGTGTAGATTGATTTTAGAATAAGGCTGTAACATAACAAAATTCAAGGGGTCTGAATACTTTCCGAATGCACTGTATTTACACTGAGTGGACAAAACATTAGGAACACCTTCCTAATATTGAGGTGGCACCTACTACCATACCCCTTTCAAAGGCACGAAAATCTTTTGTCTTGCCCATTCCCCTTTTAATGACACACATACACAATCCTTGTCTCAGTTTTCTCAAAACTTAAAAATCTTTCTTTAACCTGTCTCCTCCCCTTCATCTACACTGATTGAAGTGGATTTAACAGCTTTCACCTGGATTTACCTGGTCAGTCTATGTCATGGAAAGAGCATGTTTTGTACACTCAGTGTATATATACACTACTTCACCAAAAGTATGTGGACACCCCTTCAAATTAGTGGATTCGGCTATTTCAGCCACACCCGTTGCTAACAGGTGTATAAAATCGAGCACACAGCCATGCAATCGCCATAGACAAACATTGGCAGTAGAATGGCCTTACTGAAGAGCTCAGTGACTTTCAACGTGGCACCGTCATAGGATGCCACCTTTCCAACAAGTCAATTCGTCAAATTTCTGCCCTGCTAGAGCTGCCCCGGTCAACTGTAAGTGTTCTTATTGTGAAGTGGAAATGTCTAGGAGCAACAACGGCTCAGCCGCGAAGTGGTAGGCCACAAAAGCTCACAGAACAGGATCGCCGAGTGCTGAAGCACGTAGCTCGTAAAAATCCTCACTACCGAGTTCCAAACTGACTCTGGAAGCAACTTCAGCACAAGAACTGTTCGTCGGGAGCTTCATGAAATGGGTTTCCATGGCCGAGCAGCCGTACACAAGCTTAAGATCACCATGTGCAATGCCAAGCGTCGGCTGGAGTGGTGTATTGGACTCTGGAGCAGTGGAAACGCATTCTCAGGAGTGATGAATCACGCTTCACCATCTGGCAGTCCGACAGACGCATCTGGGTTTGGCGGATGCCAGGAAAACACTACCTGCCCCAATGCATAATGCCAACTGTACATTTGGGTGGAGGAGCAATAATGGTCTGGGGCTGTTTTTCATGGTTCGGGCTAGGCCCCTTCGTTCCAGTGAAGGGAAATCTTAACTCTACACCATACAATGACATTCTAGACGATTCTGTGCTTCCAACTTTGTGGCAACAGCTTGGGGAAGGCCCTTTCCTGTTTCAGCATGACAATGCCCCCGTGCACAAAGTTAGGTCCATACAGAAATGGTTTGTCGAGATCAGTGTGGAAGAACTTGACTGGTCTGCACAGAGCCCTGACCTCAACCCCATCGAACACCTTTGGGATGAATTGGAACGCCGACCGTGAGCCAGGCCTAATTGCCCAACATCAGTGCCCGACCTCACTAATGCTCTTGTGGCTGAATGGAAGCAAGTCCCCGCAGCAACGTTCCAACATCTAGTGGAAAGCCTTCCCAGAAGAGTGGAGGCTGTTATAGCAGCAAAGGGGGGACCAACTCCATATTAATGCCCATGATTTTGGAATGAGATGTTCGACGAGCAGGTGTCCACATACTTTTGGGCATGTAGTGTGTATACACACACACTCAATGATTTACAGATGTTGTGGAGGAGAGGAAGTGCGCAGGTTTTCTGAATGACAAAGGTCACTCAGAGATGAGAGAACCATGAGTATTTATCTTCAAGAATACCATCATACTGTACATACTCATGTTGATATGTTACAGATTATAACAATTGGGGGGGGGGAGAGAGAGAGAGAAAGAGACTCAAGTTGTCAGCTCTGAAATAAAAACAGCAGTCAAAACATTCCAGCGTCTACAACGTTTCCTCGGGTCCAGGCCGTGCTGCAGCGAGGCTCTGTGTGTGTAAGGCTGCACAGGAAATGCAGGGCAGGAGCCGGACTGTGAGAAAACTGCAGGCCCGCCCTTCAGACCACAGCCAGAGCAGGGGCTGATGGGACTTCTGATAATACTGTACATACAGTACATGTAATAGGCAAATGCGCAAACAAACAATGCACTGATCGCTATCTCCTTCATAAGACAGAGAGTGCCCTCCTGTATCCAACAATACAGATGCTGTCATTGACAAAATAGGAAAACAGCCTATTCTATTTGACTGGTGATGGAGATGTGACACTTTTAGATTGATACTCCAATTGGGAATACTTGCTCTGTTCTGGACATGTTTTAAACCAAGTTTGAAGACATAAATTCCAATTAACTTTTCAGTTTGATCAGTCCAGCACACGTGCAGCACTGCTGACGTTTTCACACTCTGCGATTGCAGAACACTTCTGCATTATAATGGCCAAACTCACAGCTAAACTACTGAATCGCTCTCTTTCTCTGCACCCTTTCTATTCTCTCTCTCTCTCTCCCTTTCTCTCTCTCTCCTTCTCTCTCTCTCACACACACACACACACACTGGCGGTGCTTCCTGCTGAGCAATATTACCATTCCTCTTCGCTGGACGAAAGCCTCTAGACCCAAACTGACATTTAGGCGTGGTCACATTGGCAGTTTAGATGATGCATTGCAGTAATTCGTGACTTTGTCTGGGAACGATTGTACTCGCCCTTCAATTCCACACACACACACACACACACACACACACACACACACACACACACACACACACACACACACACACACACACACACACACACACACACACACACACACACACACACACACCTGGGCAATGTCTGCTAACAGTAAACTTATCCCCTAGATCTCTAACTCATCCCCCTTTTTCTACAGCATACTTTGGCTTGAGTGGCAGATTTTTCCACCATCCCCTTTCTGTCTGTTGAACTTCGTTCCCCTGGTAACAGAGGCAACAGAGCTAAAGAGATTGTGCATTTTGTAGTATTAAAAATGCATTTGGGCCAAAGAATCTACCCTACATGCGGTCATCATCTTGAACTAACTGAACAACAAACATAGTAGCATTTGCCAGGGAAGCCTAATATCTGACTTTAGAGCCTTAAGTTAACCAATCAGTTTGATGACCTGTGCACGACAATACAGGAAAGAAGCTAACAATCCAGCAGACTACGCCAATATGCACTGTTGTACCTAGGACATTACAATCAGCTTCAATATAAGAAAAGTATTGAGGTGAGCTGGGTATCATCTGGTCACTGTCAGTATTGTCCTGTCCAGTCAGCAGGAGAGGAGCTGAGCAGCTACATCCCAGACCCACAGGAGTGAGCTCTGACAGGGAGCAGAGCTAGACTGCAGACGCACACACACAGACGGAGGCCCGAGCTCTCCAAACAGCCCAGCCAATCCGTTCACTAACGAATGAGCAAAGCAATAGAGCTCATCAAGCAGTCATCACTTCAGCCTGCTGCTACATCATCCAAGTCTTCTATCTGTGTCTGTCTACTGCACAGGGCCTGCTGGGCCAACACATAGATCAGACAAAGACAGACACACTTACAGTACATATACTGTGCTTTCACACATACACTCACACACATGTTTGGATGTACTCTTAGAAAAAAAGGATTCCAGAAAGGGTTCATTGGCTGTCTCCATAGGAGAACCCTTTTTGGTTCCAGTTAGAACCCTTTTGTTCCAGGTAGAACTATTTTGGGTTCCATGTTGAACCCTCTGTGTAAAGGGTTCTACATGGAACTGAAATGGGTTCTACCTGGAACCAAAAGGGGTTCTTCAAAGGGTTCTCGTATGGGGACAGCCGAAGAACCCTTTTAGATCCTAGATAGCACCTTTTATTCTAAGAGTGTACAAACACATCAACACACAAACATGCACACACACACAGTACACACACTCAAATTGTACAAGCACAACTGGCCATTATCTGCCTACAAGCCCATATATGGCTGCTGGACTATGGGAGGTACAGGAGAAAGGGAAAGTGTCTCATGACTCTGCATAATGTAAACACTCTGCATACCAAGGCCTCGCCAGTCTCATTCCAACAAACCTCTAATGCTGTTAATGTATTCTCTATAACCATAATACTGCATTCATGAGCATGACAAAACCACTTATGTTTCTGAATGTTAGATTATAGCAAACGTAAATATTCACAGTAAAACCAGATTTCCTAAACAGTGGAAAGTGTAACGGAATATGTACGGTTTAATCATAAGCAGAATCGATGGCTTGCCTGCCAATGGCAACAAAATGGACATCTAGGCAAGCCTGCATCTGTTCAAGTTAGAATGACTTAGAAGCTGATGTAGAGTGATGGTTGCTCATACAAAACAAACAACAGTACCCTATAGCAAGCAAGGAGAGACGGGAAACCCTACAATCTGAAGAATGGAAGCCTCTAGGAGCCAAAAACAAATCCACTGCCAAAATAGAACATCTATAGAGTTTGTTTGTTTGCAGTAAATCAGTCAGTCAAACAGTCAGGTTTCGATTAGAATTGGACACCACTGAAACTAACCAGCCTGTGATTCAGGGGATGGGAGACGGGCCCAAAGCTGTCTGGAATGAGTTCTCACGTTATCCTCTGTGTGCATACAAGTGTACCTGCATGACAATAGATACAATAAATCCTGACTGAGGTTTACCAGTAAAATGCCCAGTGAGAAGGATGAGTTTGGCATAGAGATCAGAGAACTCTTACTGGGTTCAGAGGAGGCAATGGGCTTAACTGGAGGAGAGCACACAGTTGGGCTTAAAGCTCATCCACTCATCCACCATATTAGATCATTTCATTTGTCACATGCTTCGTAAAACAACAGGTGTAGACTAACAGTGAAATGCTTACTTATGGGCCTTTGCCAACAATAAAAATAGAAAAATAGAAAAATAATAGAAAGATAATAACAGGAGGAATAAATACACAATGAGTAAAGATAACTTGGCTATATACACGGGGTACCAGTACTGAAAATCCATATCAGATCATCCATGTTATATCCACTGGAACACATCTATTCTGCTTCAGCTTGCTTTGTGGGGTTCTAGGTTGGGTTACTGTAAAGCACTTTGTGACAACAGCTGATGTAAAAAAGGATGATTGATTGAATAATGATTGATTTACCTTATGGCATAGTAACAAGTATGCATACATCCATCCTACCTGAATATTATCACACACACATCTGAAGAATGTACAGAATGACCATGGCCTCACTGAACTAAGCAGGAGGTGTGTGTGTGTGTGTGTGTGTGTGTGTGTGTGTGTGTGTGTGTGTGTGTGTGTATTAGACAGACAGGTTCCTCACTTCTCTGCCTCTAGACGCATCTGCTCACGCCTCTGCCTCCTCAATTCCATGCGCTGGTCAAAGTCGTCATCCATGGTGGCCGGTGAGCGTTTCTTCTGTGTTCAGACTGAAAGAAACCAACACAGACCGGTGAGTTTAACGTCATTACACAATTACACAATTTCTACTCTGTACAGAGGTCAGTATGCTGAAATGAGGATGTGCAAAAAGGTTTTCCTTGATGCCATAAGTGAAAAGGCCCTGTCTGTAGTGTGTGTATGCCAAATCTAGCCTCAACACTTTCCATATGTTTAACTCCTGTATTTATTTTGAAGTCAAATGACATAACCTTTGACTTTGACCTTACATCAGAAGAACCCTGACAGTGACATCATTGGTAATGAAGTGCTTGTAACTCATTCACATTAGCATGACACAGTAAAGACCTGCACAAAAATGTGGGTACTTAAAACTGCTGCGGTATAACCAACCCCTGCTTTTCTCACATCAGAGCTCTTAGTTGTCACACCTAATGCCGCAATAAATATATAAATAAATAATTATAAATATAAATAAATAATATACATAAATAGAAATATGATGAAATATCATCATCATCATGATTATCATCATCATTCCAATCCCAATTCTCTGGGACTAACTAGGCTAATAATCCCTATGGGATGGAAACTCTACCAAACAAAACAAGCACAAAGTGAAGACAAAACACAAGATAAGGTCCCCAGTCAACACAGAAACACACTAACATTCACTGGACATGACTCGAAGTAGGACCACCCAAGAAACATTCACCACTCAGCATTACGACATTCACTGGCTCTCTATGCGCTACTGAATAGGAGGAAACGTCCCATAGCTATACAATACCTTAGCTGTAGTGAGTAGCGACGCTTAGTCCATGGGCAGCACTCACTCCTCTCTCAGTATATCAACTCTACAGTCTGGTTTATATCTCAGCTCTCTCTGCTACAGCACAAAGAATTCCTGCTTGCTCTTTCAGCAACTATAACTACCAGAAAAGGCAAAGCCTGTCTCTTCCCTCTCTCTCTCTCTCTCGCTCAGCCTCCCTCCCTCCTTACTCTCTTGCTTGCTCCCTCCCTCTCTCTCTTTCTCACTCTCTCCTCCTCCCTCCTTCTTGCTCAGACTGTCTTCCTAGAACTCTTTTCTCTTGTTTTGCCTTGTCCTTCTTTTCACACGCTCTCTCTCCCTCTCTCCTCTAGCTCTCCTCTGCTCTTCCTCTCTCCCTCTAGCTCTCTCTCCTCTCTCCTCTACTCCTCTGTCTATCTTCCTCTCTCTCTTCTCTCCTCTACTTCTCTTCCTCTTCTCCAGCTCTGCTCTCTCTGTCTATCTCTCCCTCTAGCTCTCTCTATCTCTCCCTCTAGCTCTCTCTTCCTCTCTCTCCCTCTAGCTCTCTCTGTCTATCTCTCCCTCTAGCTCTCTCTATCTCTCCCTCAGCTCTCTTCCTCTCTCTCCCTCTAGCTCTCTCTTCCTCTCTCTCCCTCTAGCTCTCTCTGTCCTTCTCTCCCTCTAGCTCTCTCTTCCTATCTCTCCCTCTAGCTCTCTCTCCCTCTCTCTCCTCTCTCCCTCTACTCCTCTCTGTCTTACTCTCTCCCTCTAGCTCTCTCTTCCTCTCTCCCTCTAGCTCTCTCTTCCTCTCTCTCCCTCTAGCTCTCTCTTCCTCTCCCTCCCTCTAGCTCTCTTCCTCTCTCCCTCTAGCTCTCTTCCTCTCTCCCTCTACCTCTCTTCCTCTCTCCCTCTAGCTCTCTCTTCCTCTCTCCCTCTAGCTCTTCCTCTCTCTCCCTATAGCTCTCTCTTCCTCTCCCTCTAGCTCTCTCTTCCTCTCTCCCTCTAGCTCTCTTCCTCTCTCCCTCTACCTCTATTCCTCTCTCCCCTCTAGTTTCCCCTCTTCCTCTCTCCCTCTAGCTCTTCTTTTCTCTCTCCCTATAGCTCTCTCTTCCTCTCCCTCTAGCTCTCCTTCCTCTCTCCCTCTAGCTCTCTTCCTCTCTCCCTCTAGCTCTCTTCCTCTCTCCCTCTAGCTCTCTTCCTCTCTCCCTCTAGCTGCTCTCCTTCCCTCTCATCCCTCGTAGCGCTCTCTTCCCTCTCCTGCCCTCTAGCGCTCTCTTCCTTCTCTGCCCTCTAGCTCTCTTCCCATCCTCTAGCTCTCTTCCTCTCTCCCCTCTAGCTTCTCTTCCTCTCTCCCTCTAGCTCCTCCTTCCTCTCTCCCTCTAGGCTCTCTTTCCTCCTCTCCCGCTAGCTCTCTTCCTCTCTCCCCCTCTAGCTCTCTCTTCTTCCTCTCCCGCCCTCTAGCTCTCTTCCTCTCTCCCTCTAGCTCTCTTCCTCTCTCCCTCTACTCTCTTCCTCTCTCCCTCTAGCTCTCTCTTCCTCTCTCCCTCTAGCTCTTCCTCTCTCTCCCTATAGCTCTCTCTTCCTCTCCCTCTAGCTCTCTCTTCCTCTCTCCCTCTAGCTCTCTTCCTCTCTCCCTCTACCTCTATTCCTCTCTCCCTCTAGCTCTCTCTTCCTCTCTCCCTCTAGCTCTTCTTCTCTCTCCCTATAGCTCTCTCTTCCTCTCCCTATAGCTCTCTCTCTCTCTCTTCTCTCCCTCCCCTCTAGCTCTCTCTTCTCTCTCCCTCTAGCTCTCTCTTCCTCTCTCTCCCTCTAGCTCTCTTCCTCTCTCCCTCTAGCTCTCTTCCTCTCTCCCTCTAGCTCTCTCCTTTCCTCTCTCTCCCTCTCCAGCTCTCTTCCTCTCTTCCCTCTAGCTCTCTTCCTCTCTCCCTCTAGCTCCTCTTCTCTCCTCTCTCTCCTCTAGCTCTCTTCCCTCTCTCTCCCTCTAGCTCTCTCTTCCTTCCTCTCCTCTAGCTCCTCTCTTCCCCCCCCCCTCTCTCCCTCTAGCTCTCTCTTCCTCTCTCTCCCCTCTAGCTCTACTTCTTCCTCTCTCCCTCTAGCTCTCTTCCTCTCTCCCTCTAGCTCTCTCTTCCTCTCTCTCCCTATAGCTCTCTCTTCCTCTCCCTCTAGCTCTCTTCCTCTCTCCCTCTAGCTCTCTCTTCCTCTCTCTCCCTCTAGCTCTCTTCCTCTCTCCCTCTAGCTCTCTTCCTCTCTCCCTCTAGCTCTCTCTTCCTCTCTCTCCCTCTAGCGCTCTCTTCCTCTCTGCCTCTAGCTCTCTTCCTCTCTCCCTCTAGCTCTCTTCCTCTCTCCCTCTAGCTCTCTTCCCTCTCTCCCTCTAGCTCTCTCTTCCTCTCTCCCTCTAGCTCTCTTCCTCTCTCCCTCTAGCTCTCTCTTCCTCTCTCTCCTCCCTCTAGCTTCTCTCCTTCCTCTCTCCCTCTAGCTCTCTTCCTCTCTCCCCTCTAGCTCTCTCCTTCCTCTCTCCTCCCTCTAGCTCTCTCTTCCTCTCTCCCTCTATCTCTCCTTCCTCTCTCCTCTAGCTCTCTCTTCCTCTCTCTCTCCCTCTAGCTCTCTCTTCCTCTCTCCCTCTAGCTCTCTCTTCCTCTCTCTCCCTCTAGCTCTCTGCCTCTCTCTCAACCCCTCTTTCCCTCCACCTTTCTCTCTCTCTCTCCTTCTCTACCTCCCTCCTACCATATCTACCTTTTCTTTTTTTAGCCTGCTTGTGTTTACAGAGCTGTCACTGGTTAGCTAAACTCAGCTGGTTGGAATATGGTGTTAAAGGCAGGCAGGCAGCAGGCAGGCAGGCAGCAGGCAAGCAGGCAGGCAGGAAAGCAGGCAGGCAGGCAAGCAGGCAGGCAGGCAAGCAGGCAGCCAGGCAGGCAGGCAGGCAGGCAAGCAGGCAGCCAGCCAGGCAGGCAGGCAGGCAGGCAGGCAGGCAGGCAGTCTCCTAGATTGTTTCTTGCATTAAACCACAGGCCTTCACTTCCTCTGAGTGGCCAAAACTACCCAGCAACTTATTTTCCAGCCCACAGAGTGGACCAGGGTAGGGGCAGAGACAGGAAAGACACAAACATGTGAAAAAGATACTGTATGGCCCCAGGACAGTACAATACAGTGTTGCAGATGGTATTCCCTCGATCCACTTCCTTCCCTCTCCCTCTCCCTCTGTGCTGCAGAAGCCATTGTCTATGGCATTCACATAATGCCACAATGTCATTATGAGAAAGAAAAACTAACATAAATATTTTAGCATTTACAGCCTTGGTTTTGGACATTTCCAACTTTTCAAAAGTGTGTGGGTAGCTCTTTTTCTCATCATGAACACACTTATCATGCCAGAAAGGGGAAAAAAGAGCATCTGAAAATGCATCACATATCGTAAACGTAAATAACAAAAGATGTTAAAGAGATAATATTACATTGGGTATCTCTGCCAAAGCATATTTACTAACTATCTACAAAACGCTGTGTTAGTTCGTGATAGGATTGTACAGCCAGGCAGGCCAGGAGGTAATTTAGTGAAGTGCAGTCTTTTATGTAACACTGTAAGCCTTACAACTTACAAATGCCAAAACTCTTACCGACTGTCTGATAGAGCCCCTTTGAACAGAGATCTGTCAGAGCAGCCCCATTTCTTAAATTATACATCACAATAATAGCTCAACATTATTTGATGTACGAATTTGATGATTTCACGTTCATAAGTGACTGACTTAGGCTGTTAATTGGAGGTTGTGTTGTTCCGAGAGAGTCTGCTTCCACTGTGAAGAGACTTGATTGGCAGATACAATAATAGAATAGTCGACTAGGAATAAACAGATGCTGAAAGAAGTGATTTATAGGCTGGTGCCTTCATTCTTTCATTGAATAACTCAGCTAGTGTACGTGTGTACTTCTGACATAAATAGACCACCCATGCTTTGGTAATGCCAGAACCACAACAACAGAAATAAATAGACACTTATTCCTTAGTGTATCTTCAAAGCTAATCTTCATTAGCCCTTAGTAGTAGCTAATTTATCAAATTTGCTTGTCTCTCCATCTGTTATCTTCAAAGGGTTCTAATAGCATAGGTAAGCAAGGTAATAACAACCTGTTATGGTTTTGTAAAGCACCAGTGTATGTATGTTCATAACTACTGCCAATTAAATGCTATTTTGATATGATCCTGATACTGACCTGGCATGCCATTGACAGCTCCCTCTACTGGAAATTCACATTAAGTTTGACAGTCACTCTGCC